GGAGCTATAATAATAACTAAAATTAACCCTAAGTAAGTTATAAGCCTAGTATTAATAATATTTATTTTAAAATATATATTTATATTAATTTTTATTAGTTTTTTAATAATACTTTGTAAAACTATTACCCTACCCTTCGTAATTATTCTTATTAATACCTTCTTAATACTTAGTATAAGTATATTAAATATATTACTTATATTTATTTATTTTTTAATAAGTTAACTTTTATAATTCTTAGCTTAATAATAACTTATTAAATAGTTATTAACGTTAGTTTTAATTAGGGGTACGTTAGTTTATTATTACCCCTACTTTTTAACTTATTCTTTTAGTACTTATTAAATATATAGCTTATTTTATTATATATAAAGTACTTAATATTACTATTATAACGCTTTTATAATAACTCGGCGCGAGTACTTTTATTATATAGTTTTTATAATATTACTTTTAATAAGTCCCTAGAGCCTAGCCCCTTAAAACTCTCTCTACTCTTTTTTTTATAAAAAGGGAATATTCAACGTAGTTACTTTAATAATAGATATAACCTTTTTTTATTATCCTTTTATAACTAATTACTACCTTTTTACTAATTTAATAACTATAGTTTATTAACTTTATAAGCTATATTATATACTTTTTTAATTAAAACTCTATAATAAATTAGATCGTTCTATAACTAAAATAGTAATTTAAAAAAGAACTAATATACCTCTATTTTTAAATTCTTTATATTTTCTATACCTAGGTTATAATAAATTACTAATTATTTAGTAAAGAACTAAGTAGGGGTCTAGCCCTTTTTTAACCTCTTTATCCTTAGCTCTTTATAATATTCCCGTTCCTAAGTCTCGGGGTCTACGTATTATTAATAAATAAACGCTAAAAAATCGCTCTAAAAGAAGGGATCCTAGAGGCTCTTCTCGTAATTACGTTATTACGTTTATAATAATAAGAATATTTTAAATAGGGCCTATTTAATATACTATTCTATAGTACTTTTTATATAAAGCTTATTACTTATTTTTATAATAATAATCTAATTTACTACCTAAGTACTTATAAACTCTTTTTTAATTAGTTTATAATTATAAAAAAGAGGCTTTTTATATTTTTATTAATTTAAATATATTATTAATTACTTAGTAAGTTATTAAACGAGCTCCTTATATTAATACTATTTTTAATTTCGATTTTTAATTATTATTTTTATTATTTTATAAAAATAGGTTATTATTAAGCTTATAAGGTTTATTAAACTAACTATTTTAGTACTATCCGCGCTTTTATATATACCTTAACCTTGTATATTTAATAATTAATTATTAATAAACGCCCCGTTTATAATAAATAGGGTCCTCGGGGTATTAATAAAATAACTAGTTTATAAAGGTAATTTACTCCGATTATTTTCTTTATTTAGCTCTTTTATAAATACTAATATTTAAATAAAACTCGCTTTATAATAAGCTCGTTTTCTTAAATAAAATAAAATTAAATAATTAACTTTAGATAGCTATAGCTCGTTAGTACTAATAGCTCTTTATTAATAACTAAGCGTCGTTTTATTAACGTTCCGTTTATTTTCGTAATTTATTATTACTTATATTAATTATTTTATAAAAATAAAAGCTTTAAAATTATAAAAAAATAAGTTATAAATACTTAATTAGTAAGGCTATAATATAAATATAAATATATTATAAGACTAAAGCTTATAAAGTCTTTTATAAAAGCTCTATTTTTTAAAAAGTTCTTTTATAATACGAACCGTATACTAGTTATTAAGTTATTAGTATCCTATCGTTAGCTATATTTTAAATTTATTATAAAAAGCCCTAGGGATTAATAATAACTACGCGTTTTAGTATTTTAATAATATATATTTAAAAATAAGTAAATAATTTAATAGTAATAGTAATAGTAATAGCAATAAGGTAATAATAATAAGGTAATAATAATAAAATAATAATAATAAATAGCGAGGGAAATAGCGTTTTTTAATTTCAATAAAAGAAATAAAATAACGAATATATATATATATAAATAAAATTAAAATAGGGTAGATATTATAAAGTTAGTATTATTTTTAATAATAGTAATAAGGGTATCTTTAATACTACTATTATAAACTACTATTATTTAGAAAAGTAGCTAACTTAGCTAAGTACGCGGGCTTATAAAGTAGTAGCGCCTATTATTATTATTAATAATCCGTAGTTATAAACTTTATAAGAGGGAAAGTTAAAAAGTTAGAAAATCTAAAAAAATAGTTTAGCGAGATAGTATAAGTATTTACTAATACTATATATTAATACCGTATAAACAATATCGAGAATCGCCCAAGTAGCTAGTAAAGGTAGAAATAAAAAATAAATAGAGTATAATATAATATTAGTATTTATATAGAAACTACTAGTAAATACTAATATTTAAAAAATACTTTTTAAATTTAATATTACTATATAATATAATATAATTTTTTTTAATTTTTTTTATATTAACTATATTTTTCTTTAGCTGCTGTATTTTTTAAAATATTTATTTTATAATTAGTCATATATATATAAAATAGCGGTTTTGGCTGAATGTGGCCGAATTGGGTGATCTGTCGTAGGGGGTGATCCGTCGTGTGGGGTGGGGTCTTACTTGGCTGTCTCTTTTTGTTTCTCCCACTGTGAGGAAGTGTCTTTTGACGACATTGCCTGTCTTTTCTCGACCATGACGCATGGTTTCTTTGAAACGTCGAATAGAGTGTCATAGTCCGAGAAGTTAACCATTGGGTACTATTATATCTCACTGCGATATAGAATCCCCGCCGTCATCAAGTAAACTTTCTCGAAATGGTGGCTCGTCGTTGGGAGGGTTCGTGGTAAGGCAGATATCAGGTGCGCGCACGTGGGGTGGGTGGTTCGGCCGCTGAAGGAAATCCTGCTTTTTGCTTTGCGTGCTGTGATTGGTCTGTTGATCTGGCGTGGGGGGGGGGGGGATTTTGGGTACGGATGCCTTCAAGATGCGTGCTGCCTGAAGACGTCTTCGATTTGCTGCTCCACGGCATCATGAGTTCGGATTGGAGCCCAAAGACTCATTGCTCAAGAGGAGTGCTGATGGAGGGAAAAAAGGGTTCGCCGTTTCCCTGGTTGACCGAAATTTATCGTCATCTCCCGGGAATTTCGAGGTTGCGTTCTGGCGATCGAGACAGGTCTGCACCGTCGCAGTACTAAAAGTGGCATATTTCGGCAATCGTTCTCTTTCGTCTTGAGGCAAGGTAGCTCCTCACACGCACTCGCTGCGCCCATCCATCCGGGCGTCTGGTTCCAACTTCTAGCGCCGCATAGTCATGGAACCGCCTTTGGATCGCGAGAGAAGCGGTGATGGCACGAGCTGAGCACGAACTCCGTACCGTGGTCCCGTATGACAGTTTCCCACCCGATCCCCCGATTCCCGGCGCAAGACGTGCAAGTGCGTGTGTAAGCGTGGTACGTGTAAAGTAACCTCGAGTGTAACGCAGACGGCGGCGGCGGAGGATGGGGCACGACGGGTTCAACAGCATTCGTTCTCATCCGTTCCAATGTAACCTCGAAACGCCGGGTGCGCGGGCGATGGAGCACCGTACGCGATGATTGAGAAGTTGAAGAGGGGACCTAGTATGCGCTGTTGTCTGTCGAACGCAACATGGCAGGGTCTTGCATGCTTTCAGACCGTCGAGATTCCCACTATATCGGAGCTTACCTAATACCCGCGTGCGCCAAGGCAGTTGAACCCAGGATGCATTACCTAAGCTGGAGAGCTGAAGAGCTGAAGACGTGTGTACGTCCGCCCTCAGCCACAATCATCCCGGTAACACTTGTAAGCGTATAACACGCCGGTGCTAAAGCTATAGTACCTTTCTCGACAGGAACCCGCACACTGATTGCGTCGGAGCCTGAAAGTGGGAGTTCAAAGTGGGAGGGGCGGGCTGGAGCGGTGCGGTACGGCGGCCGGCCGAGTTCTAGGCTTCCCGGCCGTCGGAGCCATGTGGGTTGGACTCTGGGAACATCGTGGCAAAAAAAAGATGAAACTTCAAGAGCCTTGGTAGAACTTGCGGCTGAGATGGCTATCCACAAACCACTTTACACATTCCTGCACTGTCTTTTGGCTGCGTCTAATTGTTCCCAGGTTCCGCGTTCTTCAGTCTTTACACGTGTAAGTAGTCCCGGCGCAAAATAGTGTTTACAACCAGTAGTCTATTTCAGACAGACGGCGCTTAGTTCAGCATTGTAAGTGCCTGGGATTACCTAAGGTCATGACTTGCTGGGCCGCTATGGGGGCATATGCCAACGCGCGCCTTTGTTTGAAGTTGAGCAGAACAACTCTGAATCTAAATCAAAGACTTGGAACCGCGCACTCTATACGAAGCTACCGGTTCGGCCACGGCGCCGGACGTGACGTGAGGCTTGGGTTGCGCTTACACCCACCCCAGGGCTTTTTCTTGTCTACCGTTCGGTGCTGCTTAATCGTGGGGTGTAAGTCTGCAGGACGTTGTGTAACTCCAAAACGTCATTGGCTTGACTCAACGTCAGCATTCTTTCTATTGCCCTTTTCGGACAGAAAGACCCTTCCTGTGATGATGTCTTGCAGATCCCGTTGCGAACGAAAGAGATTGATGGCGTTGGACAAAAAAAAAACCGGGACCGAAGAAACCTGACCATGCCGAATGGGTTGCAAACAGACGGAACACCGACCACGGCCCGGACGACGACTCGACGGATACTGTTCTGACTTTGCCTGTGCCGTTGCCGTTGCCGGGAGGCTGGTCACGCAAGCCCCCCGGAGATGGTGATGATCGGCCCCTCCTGACGGCTGATGGTTCGCGAAGCGCACCCCTCTCCTCCGCTAATCTGGCAAATCTTGAAGCTCGCAACTTTACATGCACGTTTGTGCGACGGTGGCTTTTTCTTAGCGCGGCTTTGATGGTTCATCACCATTACCATTGTCACGTCGCGAGCAAACTACCGCTAAAGTAGTGAATCCGGGGACTTGCCTGTTGGCTTCTTGATTGTTGCTTCCAGGATGGTAGTTGAGCTCCTGAGCACTGTGACAACCACCAAGGACGATCCCAGCTGTGAAGAATAGGCTCCGGCCCAAGGGAGATTCGTTTCCCATCTTTCGTTTGATCAATCGCAGAGCAGCTCCGGCCACCACGGTCTCTACCTTTGTCCTGGCGTTCCCTTGTGATAGGCATGCGATTGGGGGTGTCGAAAATGCCCATCAAGATTTCGGCGAGTTCAACGGCCTTGTCCAGCAGGACAGTGTAGCCGCCCTCTTTACCGCCGCTCACATCGTAAGCAGCGAGGAGGCCGCCCAAGTATCTGATAGTGGTCTCGAAGACCGGGATGTCACGGCGCGTCGGGCTGTAGGTGAAGTCGATCTCCTTGACAGCCTTGACGGCCTCGGCAAACTCTTCCTTCATGCCCATGATCCAGAGCGTATCAAGACCGTCTACGAGAGTAGCGGCCCAGCCACAAAAGGGGTCGCGGTTACGACCGCTGACAGGCGAAAGTTCGTCGTGCATCCAAGCGTACTTGCGGTATCCGCCCCAGGACCGTAGCATTTCAGCCTTGATCAGGGCTAGGCGCCTTTCGCGCTTGTCCTTGGCAGCCTCGGACTCTGGCTTGAAGTCGTATTGGATCTTGGGAATGTCTTTGGGCTTGCCGGTGGGGAGGGGAATAATCTCGTCCGTTGGAACGGGGAAGTGCTCGGAGACCTTGTGCCAGTGGATCTGTGATGTCGAGGTCGACAGGCTCTCGGCGATATCAAAGTTGGGTCGGCCGGGAGGCTTCTTGGCATGGAGGTCCTCTTCCAACTCTAGAGGCTTTGTGGGCGCCTTGGTGACCTCGGGCGACTTGGTGGCCTCTACCTCGTCATTGTAGGCGTGGATGGAAAGGGTAGGGCCAGAGAGAGTGTTGGTGGGCGCCTTGGCCTTCTCCGTCTTGAGCTGAGGAATCTTGACAGTGGGCTTGGCCGTCTGCTTCTGAGGGTTCTGCTCAGGCTCGTCTTCCTCTTGGTCGTGGGGATGTTCGCTATCGGGGGGCGGCTGGTTGTTGAGGTGCTTGTTGGAAGCGGGATCGTTGGCCGGGGGTGGCTTCGAGGAATCCTTATGGACGTTTTGGCCCTTTTCGGGTTCGCTGGGCTTGATGCTGCTGGATTGACCTGTGGAATCCCATTCAGGATTTTTGAAGACCTGATACAGCATAAAGACCATCACAACAGCGACAAGAATCACATAACGGCTCCGTCGGCGGGGCATCATGTTTGCGGGCTCGCCGGAGCGAGGCTCTCGTCGCGCGGTGGAGGAGAAGTTGTATTGCTGTCGCGTGCTACTCTGCAGGTAGCGCTAGACAGTCGAGTCGAAGGATGGAGGACCCTGGGGTCCAAAGAATTCGAGAAGCAGCAAGGATGATGCGTATGCTAATTCGATGTCATTTCTCGGTTTCCGTCGTTGTCGTTGTCGGAAGGAAAAGCTAAAGGTAAGGCCAGAGCCAGAGCCAGAGCCACGAAAGAAAGCTGGGACGACAGGCAAGGGGGACAAGGAGCGGAGGAACGAATGAGAAAGGAAGGGAAGGATAAAAGGCCACGGATTGGAACTCGGGCGCAGATGAGGTAAGGTTGGAAGGCACGAAGGCACTTTGTAAGGCACGTAAGACGGCAGGAGAAGAAGAAAAGTGAAGGTACGTAGAGAATGGATTGAAAAGGCAAGGAAGGTGAGGTAGGGCGAAGTAAGGCAGGTGGCATGTACAGATTGGCGTTAAGGGGGGTGGGACGTGGCAGTAAGGTAGGAAGCAGCAGCACACACCGGGGAGCTTGGCCCAGGTCCAAAAAAATCCAGTACCTCGGAGGGGAGGAACTTGTGCTTGGGAAGGAAACACCCCGGATCTCTTAGGTAAGACGGGAAAGATGATCCACGAGGCCACCGGTCACTAATTACCTACCTAGGTAGGTAGGTACCTTGACATACCTTAGGTACGGAGTACTTCGTACTTGCCTGTGTAAGGAACGAAACTTCCATTGTCCAGCTGTCCATCTGCCACCTCAATTACACATCACCAGAAACATCAGTACTCGTACAAATGCTCTCGACTCAATACTCACCCATTATGCCGTTCTGCAGGATCCCTGAACGGTGGACCTACACACCCTGCACAGAAGGTGCCCTGTCACCTCTGTGTCCAAGACGCAAGATCTGAGGTTTCCCTGTGTCGGATTGATCAACGAAATGGTTGGTCCAGGGGTTTAACACGCTCTTCGGTTGTGTTTCGAGGTCCACATGCTAACACTTGCCATTCATCTGCTAGTCAATCCTTGGTAAAGGTACCATGATCGCTATCGGACCCGGCTTCTCCTTAACGATGGATAGCCGTCGCGTAATCCAAGATTACCATACCCCATGTCTAAAGATGGCCTCTCGCGTTCTATCAAAAACGTTTCAACCCCAACTCAGCGGTACTGGCTAACCGTACCATTGCCACGTTACACATACTTCCTACTGTACAGGTAGCTCATCGGTCGACAGTTACAACCTCAACAGCATTCCACAAGGTGTCTCGAGCTTGCCCGCCCCCTCATCCTCCGTACCGTACCACCAAGAAAATGCGTTGTCTCTACCAGTCTCTTCATGCCCCGGACCGGACACTAACTGGCACCGAACCCCCAACCTAACGCCTGGCTCACCTGAGATAAAGAGAAGCTCCCAGCGCAATTGGCTCCCGAAGCGGGTCGCACCTTAACTCTTGGAAGAGCATTCTTGCTGCACCAAATCCAGGGGCCGGGGACCGACGCAACCTAACAGCGGGGCGGGAACGGATCCAGATGGACCAGATGGACCTTATTTTCCCAGGGGAATGGTGGTTCGCTGCTCGCCTGCTGGCTTGCTCCAATGTCGTATCCGGAAAAGGGTCGTCCGCTCCATTCACGATCTTCCATCATTTCCCGTTCCCTGAGAGGAGGACAAACTCTGGCTAAAAAGACAAGACGAGGCAACACACGACCAGAAAGAGGAGCCCACATCGTCTAAGATCGTAAGGTGGCATCGAACAATTCCCAACTCGAGTATAGTGTCTTTGGCGATGCAGCTATTCCCGAAACCGTCGCCTCGACTCTCGAATCCAGTCACCCGACTTGAGCCAAGCCGGATCTTGGTTGCGCCTCTGCCTTTTGACCCGTCTATTGTCTTGGCAGAAGACACCCACCTCGACTCCGCTGAACCTGCCTGAGTGGCCTGTCAAAGCAGCCCGTCTCCAGATACTTTCGGCTCCTCTCCCAGCTCCAGCTTGATCTCCAGCTCTAGACTAGCGCCGACTTTTCTTTGTCTGCGACCGATCCACAGGGCAAAGCTCCTTTGCAGCCCCTTGGCAATAAAACATCCAGAGACAACGATCTCAAGGGCGAGGGAGTGTTTATCAGCCACGCAGCATACGGCAATTTCCCGACCTTCTGCTGTTTGAAGGATCTATCCGTATGAAGGCCTCTTCTCTCTGGCCCTTTCATTCTGACATCTTTTGTTCTGACATCACAAGTAACAATCGTCCATAATTGCCTCTCAGTGTTGGCCCCTACGAAATAACCACCAATTCAAGACTCCTGAGAACCCACACGGGTCCGCTGATCAGAAACACAATCTTGAAGCCGAAACACTCCGAGCTCTAGATGACTTCAGTAGAGCTCCATCTTGGATACCATAGAGACAAGGCCACAGTAAATAGGTCGTCACGGTTTGTGGCGTGGCTGTCTACTGGCACGCTGGCCGCCGACAGAACATGGCATTCATCAGAAAAGGTTGGTGGGTGTCTCAAGCTGAGGGCAACTTTTGACGGACTTATGCAAGGGATTGCCTGCCTCCACTAGGTCCTGTACATGACGATACTTAGAGTTCAACATTTCGTATCGGTCAATTTTGTAATCGGCCGAATGGACACTGGCCTGACTATGTTCCTCATTTTGATCTCCCTTTGAAAAAGCCACTGCACCTGTAAAAACTACATCAAATGTCTCTTAGCCGCACCATTACTGGCACCGTGCCTGTCAGCACAGACTTAATGGTCTCTCTTGACGCCAGTGGATCCACCGGCTCCGTCGTTGGGATTCTCCTCTCGGGCGCGGCGGCAATGTCGGAAACGGCGGCCAAGCCGGCGCCCGGCTATGGCACCCGGGGCGGATCACGACTTCAAGTTGGAACCCATCGACCGGCCGGCGAGTAAGTAGAATGATCAGCAACAAGAGTCCGAATCTTATAACAAGGTTTCGCAACCGTGATATGGCGTGGGAGCTGTTCGATATCCCCACCTATGGGGTCTACAACAACTGAGGGAAGGGGAGAAAGCAAAATAAAAAATAAAAAACAACAATGAGACGACCGATCGAGGAATCGAACTTGGATCCCGAAATAAGCAGGAGTCTTCACTGCCTAACCGGGACCTCTGCAGTCCGATTAACCCCTCGACCATACGGCCCAGATGCTTGTTGTTAGAATGGTGACGATGATTCATTGACTAAGTAGTGACCCTCGCGGTCTATCCTGCTCGTATTCTCGGGTACCTTCTTCACAGTCAAGCAGTTCGTCCTTCAGGCGTCCTGACAAGAAGTGGCCCGCCTTAATTGTCCGCAAAAGGCTAAAGTGAGCATCACTGCAAGGTTGACAGAGGCCGTGATTGCGTACAACATCGTCTCTACTGAGTGACCCTTGCAGCGCCATTTGCGACTTTATGAGAAACCTTGCTCTACCAACTACCTTACCATTTACGCAGCCCGATAAGGCCCGTACAGCTCCAATGCTTGAACGCAAGCTTGTTATTCTCCACCTCATCAACGATGGCAACCGCCATATCCTCATTATAGATTCCATTCTCCGCTGCCTCTGCCGCCGGGTTCTCGGGCGTGTCGATGAAGATCTTGTACTCTCCAGTCCGCACACCTATAAATTGTCCTTAGAGTCAACTGCTCGAGTCTGCCAGTCTTTGAATCGGAATACAAACAGTTGAGGAGAAGAGACTGACCTTTATCACGCAAGAGACCTGGAGGTGAGAGGAAGGTCCACGACTTCTCAGTGACGCCGTTCCACATCGTGAAGGCCACCCGACACATGGTGATTAGAGCGATGGTCTTCCTGTCCGTCATGCAGCGTTTGAGCCAGCGTTGGACTAGATACGTGACCGGTCTCAGAAGCCAGGAGTAGGCTGAGAAGAGAAAAAACTGTTTTTAGCATCGAGACGCTGCGTATTCTCTTCCAGCCGCGGCGAACCAACCAAGAGTGAGAGAGACTTACACCTCGGTTGCTGGATGTGACTTCTGCTCCACTTCATCAAGACGGCAACTAAGCTTATGAACCGGCTTCCGTGGTCCAGGCCTCGCGCGGTCATATAGTCGAGGTGCTCGTCGGGCCATGCCCACCTAGCCAACCAGCGCTATTAGTTCTAATTTCTCTTCCATATGTGAGCTGAGGGGGTTCGCATACCACCAGCTATACGCAAAGTCCTTCTGATCTGTAAGTTGAAGACGGCTTGCGACGTGAATAGATCCCGCTCCACCTAGTATCCTCAAAACTTCAGCAACAAACCCCTCCCATACATACTGAATCCCGTCACCGGTCTTGAAATCACATACCAACAATAATAAAAGGGCCCTCGTGCGTCGAAGCCAACAGTGCAGTCTTGATCCTCCCATGCGCCTCGACGCCGTCCTCGTATACGGTATCCAGGTTCGCCAAGCTGGGCCCATAGGCGCACACGATGGCGTCAAAGTCTGACGAGAAGATGTCGATGACTTTCTTCTGCTCGGTGTAGATGTCGACAGAGGTCGAGGTGTATGATCCGTCGCCGGTGCCGTGGTTCCATTGCTTTGGGGGGTTGCGGGAGACGCCGACGACGGCGTGGCCTCGCGTGAGGAGCTCGTCGACAACACAGCTTCCTGCTTGACCTTTGGGGCCTATCACTGCGACACGGAGTTTTTTGGAGCGCATTATTCCGAGTGAGAGGACTGATAGTAGGATGAAGGTGGTGAGGAGCGGAAGGTTTGCAGGCAATCTTGAGAAATTTATACAATGCTAAGGCAGTATGCATATTTGTGGCCGTAAAGAACTCGAGCGTTGGTGTAAGCATCGTGCGTCGGCGGGTTGACGCCCCTCCGTCAATCGACCACCACTAGATCGTAAATCCGTAATACCGTTACAATAAACCGACTCAAACCTCTCAGATGGTGTCACATATTGCTGAGGGTGTCGAGTACGAGCCACTCGTAAGATACCTCACTCGGGCCGGGCCAAGAGTCCGAGTGGCCGGCGTCGGGGGCTACCCCACCCCCGCAAACGGGCTGAGGGGCAAGTCCGAGCCGCGAAGTTACGGGGACGACTGCCGTTCACTAATGCCGGGTTGTATGTGTATTCTCCTTCATGTTCATGTAAGTTGAGCCGCCTGAGATTGAAACAACCTGGCGACGATCACTGCTCAGATATAGCTAGATCTTTATGCTTGATATATGTAGATTGCTGGGGTTGTATGACGGGTATATCCGCCTGAAAGCTAATGGTGATTGCTTCAGACTTGGACGAATGACTGCAGTTAGTGCCTACTTTCACAGATAGGCGAGTTCAGATCAAGGCATCCGTCGTCATCGTTGAATCACTCCCAGGTGGATCGTCCGGATACTTGAAGGAATATACAGTATACGTACGCGGGAACTTGTAATAGCAGCCAAAGGTACATAACCCCCCGTCAATTCCATTTCCGCAGCCAGCAGGCGCCTGTCTAGGTTAACGGGTCAGGCCAAACTGGCTGGGTGGTGGAGTGGTCTAAGGTCAACAATCAACACACCAACCAGCCTACTCGACGACAGGCTTAGCGAGTACCCGATTTCGAATCCCAGTATGAGAACCAAGAGATGGAGCCTACCGAGGTGAACTCTTTTTTTGATTATCTTGAATGATTTCCATGTGGTCCTTCAGATGCTTTTTGGCTGTTGGATCGAGGATACCTTCACTTCAACATTCTCACAATCGAGATCCGATCAATCAGATCCTGACTCATAATTAAACCATTCTTTTGTTACGCTAAGCGGAACAGTCTACCACTTGCGAAGCTGAGGCTGCTCCTCTCAACTCTGCCTCATAGTAGCCAACGCATACGTCCCGGCAGGCCCTCGGATCTGGAAGGGCCTATCCGCGGCCATGCACTGGCCCTTAACCAAGTCCCACACCGATCCCGGAAGCCTCTCAGTGTCCGAATGGTGATTGATGAGAACCTTGAGGACGAAGTCGCCAAAGCCATCCTCGGCGAGGCCCCGATAGTCCGAATTCGTGGAGAGATTAGCGAAGCCTTCGTCATCTGTAATGCGGATCGTACTGATTCCTGTCTCAAAGGCATCGGCTTCGAAGACGACTGCCTTGACGCCTAGATCAACGGCTTCTTTCTGCAAGCTCTCGTCTTAGACTACGTGTACAGTCATTTTGTGGTCAGTCTGCCGGAGCCTTGGTGCGAACCGCTCGCCGAAACCGAAAGCGGCATTTGTGGGGCCAGAAACATCGGGTCCGGGCCGACGACGTAGGGACCGGAGCAACAACGGGCTTTTCGGAGAGACGGAAAATCCCCATGCAAGCCCATCAGGGAGACATATTATTGTAAGCTCTGTAGACATGCCACTACTGGCAATACCGGTTGCCATTATTCAATATTCAACAACCAATCATCATGGCAATGTTTGATAGCTTGAACTTCATAATCATTTGAAGAATTCTAAAATAAATGAAGGCGGGCCACAATGGTGATATCGCAATCCTATTGGACTCTATACGGATCTAACAAGAAAGCCTATTTGCGAGACAGGCCGGTCGGCGGGATAACCTCCAAGTGGAAGGGAAGTCCGATCAAAGAGGGCGAGACTGTTGTGTCGGTGCTGATAAGACTAGTGGGAGTAGATGGTAACAAGCTGTCTGTACTGCTAGTCAAAGGAGGAGTGAAGGTCCGAGTGATGGAGATCGTAGTGTTGGAGAAAGGTGGATCACTTGCGGTGATAACTGTGGTAGATGAAGAGAGCCCGTCCCTCGATGTATCCGACAAAGTGGTGGCTGTTGCGCTACTGCTCGTCGTACCACTAATTGTTGTCCTAGAGGAAGAACTGGCTGTAGTACTCGTAGTCGAGGCTGGGCTGGTAGGAGTTGGTTCACTTGTCGTCGAGGGCGTGCTGGTCGAAGCCAGGCTAGAAGCGGACGTTTTCGTCGGACTATTGTCGGCACTGGTGAGATTAACGGAGGGTGTTGTAATGCTGCTTCCTGATGAAAAGGAAGTTGTACCCAGCGTACTGTAGGTATCACTAGAAATTGTAGAGGATGATGGTGTAGAGAAGTTTGAAGACAATGTCGAAGAAGGAGAATTCGAGAACAACAATGAGGTAGAAGATAGGGTGGAAGTTGACGTCAACGAAGAAGAATCTAAGGGTAACGCTGTTGTAGAAGAGAGGGTTGAAGGTAACGCCGATGAAGTTGTATCTGAGAATGAAGACGTGGAAGAGGAGGTTACAGATGATGTCGAGGAAGGAGAGTCCGGGGATGATGATGAAGTGGAGGAGAGAGTTGAAGAGGTTGATGTGGGGGAAGTTGAAGGGCTGATAGACGTGGAAGTCGTGTCAGATGTCGTTTGAAAGGTTGTTGTCACAACCGGGGATGATGCAGAAGTAATCGTGGAGGTTGGCGACGCACTCGACGAGGTGCTACTCGCTGTTGTTGCCGTGGACACTGTTGAAATGGCATAGACAATATATACTGGAACTCCATTGTCATAGCCACCACACGGGAGACTGATAGGGGGAAGCCCAGAAAAAATCGGCGGTAGTACTTCGCTACATGAGATGGTGCAAAGTTGTTCGTCTGGGGGAGGATCGGCGGCAAACTCGATGCTGGTTATACCGTCCTTGGAGCAGTAGCACTTCCCATCGAGTAGTAGTGACGCAGCACGCGAGTTAGCGATGCATGTATTCTGGCATTCTGTAGGGCCGTTGCTCGTCGGATTGTCATACTGAAGGTCTAAAATGTTGGCCGCGTCGGTGACCGCACCGCAGCCTTGATAGGAGTAAGGCTGTTTGGAGGCAAGGGCACCCATTGTTGCAGGTATCGGCCTCAACACTTGAAGGAAACGACATTAGAACATGATTTTCGATGCGAGAGACAGAAGGTCTGGATTTTGAAGACTTGCGACCGTCTGAAATAGCAAGGCGTCTTTGCGATGGCAGTTAGGGGGAAACAGGGAGGTTATTGGAATTGACTACCACGCCACATCATTTTCTATAGGAACGTTGTGCAACGCCGAGGAAATTGACACGGCAGAAGACGAGATAGGCTACTTGAAACGTGATTCTGAAAAGAAGACATGTAAGTCTCTGATTTACTTATTGCCTGATCCTGTCGAGAATGCCAACTCGAGCTGTGGTGTCACCAGCACGATGATCGTGTCTTGTACCCATGTTCGGATACCAATTGCCGAGATAGTCTGTCCTCAATGACTGCCGGCGTGCCTATTCACGAAGCCGTCTTTGAGGGAAAGCACAGAGGGATGGTGAATTTCGTCGTTGATTATTTAAAGTAAATACTCTAAGAGAAATTCGAGCTACTTTATTCCCTCAGCCGATCGGTTACCCTGCTAGCGTCTATCAACGCCCACCCCATTATCACCATGTCCGTTCGAAAGGTTGGCTATGAACCCTCCATGACTGTCAACCGCTAAAAATGAGAATGCCCGGTCCATCCCATAGAACCTCAGAATTAACCACACATAGGAGGAAACATCCAGATGCATGGCGGATTGCGTCTCCGGCGCCTAGTGATCAATCAGACAGTCAACCGATGAGTAATGTATCCCGGGCTAACTTCCCTACTCTCTATTATCACATGTCTTCGTTTTCATGGCCTGTACCATAATTCTGGAAATAAAAAGACCTCATGCCCCTATTTGCGTCTCTAACCCCCCGACCCTTTGGAGTAGCCGTTTGTTAAATCGATGGCTGGGGCCCAGTCCATGCCCACCAACAGTCTGAATGTTTGCCTCAAGCTCTCGGCACAGCTCCAATGCCTCTGTCAGGTTTCCCTTGCGCTCGAGGAGTTGCACAAGTTCCCAGACGTGCCATATCCTGTCCGGATGCTCACCATCCATATCGCTGGCATCGGCGGCTTTATCTTTGTCACAAGCCTTGCGCAGGTAATCTTCCGCCTCATCCAAGCGGCCCTGTTGTAGATGTACGTAAGCTAAAGTACCTACCTTGTAGCTTGTCAGCATATGGGCTTCAGGTGCCGGACTTAGGATGCGGGCACGTGGTACAGCTCAATGGTGGCTGCGGGCTTCTTTCTCTCTCACTTGACCACGCCCATTGAGTGACACGATGCAGAAGGTACCATCGGATCTTTTATAGAGAAGAAGAGTCGAGTGAGTAATCAACATAGAATAGCACGAATAGGTATTTGATGATAGCCACCATGACTGGGCACGAGGACATTTCCCGCTGAAGTATAGAGGCGCAACATCGCTCTACAACCACATGTTATTCAAGCAAAACCTTGGTTCCTTCCGCGCTAGTCAAAACGATGCCCAGGTTCTGCTTCTCCCCTCCAACAGGCTCATTGGGTACACCGGGGGGAAGTCGAATATTAGGAAATCTTTGCAGGATCTTCACGATCGCATAGCTCGACTCCATTATTGCATAGTCCTCTGTCAAAGAAGTCAATATTACTCGGATGATTTGGGAAAAACGACATTAGTACGGAAGCAATCGCACTTACTGCCGAGACATACGCGTGGTCCACCATGAAAATCTAAGAAGCCACCGAGCCCAGCTTTGCGGATCAAGTCACCGTCTTCCCACCGACTCGGTCGGTATACGCAAGCATCAGGACCATATATAGCTTCGTTTCGATGCAGATGATATGCAGACCACCCGAGGCCGACGCCTTTGCGGAGTAAGACGGGTGATTCGCCATCTGGCCCACCGCCGCGGGGCAAGATGGTAGTACGGATTGCGAAGCGGACATTGACAGGAAGTTGCGGGTACAGACGAAGTGCTAGTCAAACTTGAGTCAATAAAATTATCGAGGCAAGTAAAATAGACTCTTCATGACGCACTCTCATTGAGGCAACACCTTAGGAATGGAAGTTGTTGAATATGTTTCCGCGTAAGAATGCCACTGTTGGGGGTTGCTGCGCTAGCCATCTCGGATCTCAGACGGTCAATTAACTCGGGATTGCGGATGAGGTGAAAACTGTTTTTTGTTCAGCATGCAAGCCAAAAGTTGCATAAAGCATGAGTGTGCAAACTGACAATGTCCAGCTGAGAAGACAGGCCGTAGTGTCTCTACCGGCTATAAGAACGTGCAACAACTGATCCCGAACAATGTTTCGATCATGCGTATCACGCCAGAGGTCTACAATGAAAGAGTATTTAACCATGGCAGCTTCTTCGCCGTGTTCCTCCATGAAGTCCAATGCTTTATCGGAGAAGAAGGTAGCCCAGTCCCGAACGCCCTTGCAAGCGTCTCGGAATTTCTTTGGCGTGTAGAGCCAGGAAAGATCGGCTAGACGAAGTCTTATAGCTGAAATCAACGTCGCATAGTCGAAATTGTCGCAGAGAGCAAGCCTTTCATGTTCGGGAAGGCTGTGATGTGGCTCACCGAAAAGAAGATGCGTAGTGGTACCCAATGTGTACTCAAAAAAGTGAGGCTGCATATCCACAACAGTAGACATCTGTGACTCGTGCTCAAGAGCGCGGACAAGTATGTCTGTATGCTCTTCAAATGCCGTGAGCTCGGAGTCTCTGATGCGTGAAAATTGACGACGTAATAGCTCCCGAGAGTGGCGCCACGCTGGCCCGTCTTGCGTGAAGATACCTTCACCTAGCAGGGGCATGAGCCCTATCCGGCGGGAACCTAAGCCAAAATCCTCGAAACGAGTGCTCAAGATTGCTTCGATGTTAACAGGATCGGTTATGATATAGCCTTCTCCGAGAATATCAATCCTCAGAGTCGGAGCAATCTTCATATACCGTGTCTGGAACTCTAGCAAACGGCCGCTAGGCAACGCATCGTACTGGCGCTTGAGAAGGTCAAGCGCAAAAGGCCATCTATATGGTAGAGTTGCCTGTACCGGCTTGCAACCGTGTTGAGCCGCGATAGCTTCCTCTTCCAGCTTAACTTTTCGATATTGCAAATACCATCTGACGCAGTATGCCAGTATTCCTGCGAGAAAAAAGCTGCGCAGAAGGAGAAATGGCCAACCGCTGTGTGCAGTAGGGCTTATAAGAGGTGTGGACAGCATCCTCGTGGAGGTATGGTCAAGGTAATACCCGCAATAGAACACAAGATTGAAGGTTGATAGTCAAGAAGGTGATAGTAATAGCAGACACAAAATCGTAGAAGTAGGCCGAGGGTGATGTAAAGCCTTGGATTTCACGTTCGTGCTAGAGCTACATCACGAATGTTTTGGTGTGAGGATGTTGGCTTCCGGCTGACCAGCTTTACCGGCTTTGGAAAACAACATCGGGATACATGCTATTCTTGGTCATTTTGCATGCTTTGTTGGTTCTGGAATACGTTTGCCAGGCACCCAGCCTTGGTATGATATAATGATGATAATCGCAGCCACCCGATTCGATGCCTGATTTCTCTACAGCACTCCAACAGTAGCCGGGCAGATTCTTGTCGTTACACAAGCGAAACCAATCCAATCAATTTTTTCCAGATCCGGGATAACGATGTGTTTGCAGCACTCAAGTTTGCGGCAGGCTGGTACGGCTGGTTGGCGCTAATATCCTTTATCACACCAATGAATTTGCCAAACATCACAAGCCGGCCGGTGATCCAGTTGGTTAAGGTAGACTCGGCTTGGCTTTTTTTTGGGTCCATTTGATAGCCCGGGTTTGCACCCTCTGCTTCCCTGGCTCAAACTTGTCGGTCTTTCACAGGAGCCGAGTTCATTACATCGAGACGTCCCCTGGAGATTATGGTTTGCCTTCAGCCTCCGATCTCATCACCTACATTGGCGTCCCGCTGACAGTTATTGGATTGCTTCCAATCATTTACAATGTTGTTGCCACTCTGATCCATCTGCACAAGATCAAGCGGGTGCTACGCCGCAACGGAATTCCTCCACCACTCCGCTCAGGTATCTTCAACCGCATTGTTGAAGTGGAGTTTCCCAGGTACCGTATTCAATCACCGCAGAGACAAGCCAGTGATGATACCACAGAACATCAACCGATTGTTTCGAATGACGATATTCCTCTAAGGAATCTAAGCTCAACGACATCGACATTGAGAGAAGAATACCTTCCACCGCTACAAGGCGGTGATATCCCCGGAGGTAGTTGGTCATTCTTGAAATGGAAAGGGCACCAACTTGGGACCAGAACCCAAAGAACGCAACCTGGAGACAACCTCCGACAACCACGGGCTCAAATACGTTTCTGGGATCTGATCCTTCGACTTTACCTGTCGGCTTGTGTGACAGTCGATACAACGGGGTGGTGTGAGCTCCAAGAAAGGCCCCTTTGGGTGAGAGGTCGCCACTTGATGACTCTGAGTGACACTCCGCAGGAGTCGACTTTGATGCTTCAGGTGGCCTCCTACCATGACTCTGAAAGCTCAATTTCCCTTGAGTTCGTTCGGTCAGGTTTGAGGAGCGACTGGCCGTCTTTCCTCAGAGACGGACCAGTGAGATTCACTACGCATGGATCTATCACTCTCCCGTGTCACCACCACCGGGATCACAAACACCGGGAGCCAGCGGATGAAGTAAAGAGTGATTCCGGTTCAATAATTTGCGATGTGACAAATAATGGGTTGGTAGTTGCATACCCAAGCTCCAGGAAATGTGACTCGTTCAACATCGAACATCTGCGAACCGATAATGATCTCAGTCACCATGGGATTTGGTTCGCCAGTTGCGCAATGGCACTGTACGCGCAAATTTCAACCCCAATTTTGCATTACAGAGTTCCAGCCGATATATGCCGACTGACAAAGCCAGATTCCATCCCGGAAGGCGTTATCAGGTTACTGAATGGCGAGGGAGTCGAAGAAATATCGCCCATATTTACCCGCAAATACCTCAAATCGGAGGGAAGTAGCCAGGAAGAGCAAATACATACATCACCAATAGACAACAACATTTGGAAAGAGAGAGAGATAGAAAGTCAGAGTTTTATGCACGTCCAGAAAGGTGAATTTCGAATATCGTAGCTAATCATGATAGCAGTACGCAAGAAACGCCGCGCTGAATTCGATAGCGACGTCAAACGCATAGAAAATGCTCTTCACACGCCTGCTATGACAGGTACGGAGCTTCGTGAGGCCACCCTCGATTGGTTGCGCCCCCGAGATCACATCCCAGCCATACAGACAATGGAGGAAGCCACAAAGACTATATAGTTTCGTATGGTGACTGAACAAGCTTTTGCTAAGTCTCTGTGCCAAATACTAGATGATTGGAATAAATGGGCGGACAAAGGTGAAATGAGCGTGAAGGACTTTTGCATCATCAATCAAATCAAAGTCACCTTTGCCCAGGCGAGCCTGGTGATTGTAGTTCTTGCTGGTCTCGAGAATGGGCCAGCTTCCGAATTAACATTATGCAGGAATGCGCAGAAAAATGGGAGTATGTGGAACTAGGGTAGTCAGTCGAGCGTCGCGTAGCTGAGAGTCGTAAAATAATATGATTTGAGTTCCGTCTTCCTGCTTTGTCACTATCCGCCCGTTGGTACCATTACGAACCAATGCTCGTCAATTCCTGAGATATAACACGTTTCGGTCTCTTACAAATAATTATAATGAGAGAGGAGAAAACAATACATGGAACGCCTTCAAAGAAAGCGATTCAATCCTGAAAGGGATGGCAGGCAATGTCAAACTTTCTGACACCCTTCACAGCATCGAAAATTTGATCGGTTCCAGAAGGTTCCTCGAACTGAAGCCAACATGGAGTTGAAAATCTCCTACGGGAATGCGCCAAGTCTGAGCATCAGTGTCCCAGTAGCTGAAGTCTCGACGATTCAACTCGAAAGCAACCTCGCGGGTCTCACCTGGACCTAGCTCAACCTTTGAGAAGCCTCGAAGGACCTGGACAGGCGTGCCAGAGGGAGCCGAATCAGTAGGCAGTGACAAGTAGAGTTGAACAACGGTTGCGCCGCTTCGATCGCCGGTGTTCGCCACTTGAATCGTCGCGTTCGCCACGGGAAGGAAGAGGTCGCTCAGAGGTACTGAAGACTCATTCGCAGCGCGAGCCAAAGGTGCCATGTTTGCTGTCAAAGCCTTGACTGAGAGGTCGGACGACAGGTCGAAAGTTGTGTAGCTAAGACCAAATCCAAACTCGTACAGCGGCTCGATTCCCTCGGCGTCGAAATGACGATAATCGATATTCAGACCCTCGGTAAAGTTGGCTTGCCACGCACCAGGAGAAGACACTTCATCGCTTGTCAGGTTCGTAACCGGGATGTCATAGCCCGCTTCAGTCTTTGGAATGGTGTAAGGCAGTCTACCAGACGGGTTGATGTCGCCCCAGAGGACGTCAGCGATGGAATTACCAGTCTGTTCGCCAGGCAGGTGAGCGGCGACGATGGCGCGAACATTAGGATGGCTGGCCCATGGCATGGTGTTGACACCAACGGAATGGGTGATCACAACGGTATTGTTGCACATATTCGCAACCTGCGTGACCACTGCTGTGGAGTTCCAATCTGCCTCAAAGGAGACGCGGTCGAATCCCTCTGCGGCAAAGGTCTTGAGGAAGACGATGCATACATCGGGCACGGGGTAAATGCTATGAAAGTCCCCGGCTGCGAGACGTTCATTGTTGAGGATGTACTGCACGCGAGCCCCAAAGCCCTTGGCTCGCTCCTTGATGGCGTCCAGCGGGGTAACCACGTACGTATGGCGAACGCTACTAGAGCCCCCGCCAATGTCTAAAGTTCCGTACTCGAACCCGACGTTCGTTGCAGGAGGGTCTTGGTAGATCAAGCCATCCGTCAAGTCGCCAGCATCATTGCCAAAGACACCAATGTTCATAGGAGTCATGAGAGGCAGCGTGTTATTGTTTTTGAGCAGGACAACACCGGCGGCCCCTATTTCTCGGATGAGCTTCGCGTGGTCACCACGTACATCTCTGGCAGGAGTGTTGCTGACAAGATCTCCTAAATTTTGTTGATACTGGGTTGCGATGACTGAGAGAGTTGAAGGATCCAGGCTCGGGAAGCTGCTATCATCTTGGCCTAGGAGGTAGTACTGGGTCAAAATACGACGAACCATCTCGTCTAGGCGATTTGTGGAAACGCTGCCATCTTGAACGGCATCTTTGACGTGGCTTCCGAACCATGAAGTACCCTGTCCGGGTACAGTTGTGCCAGGCATTTCCATATCCAGGCCAGCGTTGATAGAGGCCGCAGTTGAGTGTGTGGCATACCAATCAGACACGGTGTACCCCTCAAAACCGAGCTCATCCCGCAGAATACCAGTCAGCAGCTTGGAGTGCTCGCAAGTATATGTCTGGTTGAAACGATTGTAACTACACATGACTGCGGCAGGCTTCGCGTTGATGGCATCCATGAAAGGCCAGAGGTAGAGCTCGTGAAGGGTGCGGTCGTCCATGTTGGTAGATACGGCGTCGATGTTGGATCCATCGGGAAGGGTGACATTAGTGCGTTGCGTTTCTTGCTCGTTGCCGATGAAGTGTTTCGTGATTGACTGAACACCCACGCTTTGGAGGCCTCGAATAGAGCGATCCATCGCGATGCCGGTGAGGTAGGGATCGGGAGAAAACCCCTCCCAGACACGACCTCCAAGCGGATGACGGCCGAGTGGTCCTGCCACGGGACTTGAATTCAACATGTTAGCACAAGAATGCTTTGTTCCATGAGAACGACAAGGTTTACCCTAAGCAAGCATGCATGCCCTTTGCTCGAAATTCTTCACCGATGGCCACCGCACGACGGTACATCAAGTCCGCATCCCAAGTTGCAGCAGCTGTCAAACCCGCTGGAAACACACTTGTAAGATCGGCACGGTTCACGCCAGACGAACCGTCTGAGTAACAGATGCCAGAGAAGTTGAGACGCGGGATTGCACCAATGCTGCCGATGCAACCAAGGCCGGTCAGCGGGTTCGCACCGGTGACGACTGCCGTTTTCTCTTCGAGGGTAAGTTCTGCTAGAATTGCATTGGCCTTCGAAACGGCGGTGTCCCAGTCAACTTCATGATTGTTAGCTGCCACTTCCACCGCCTGTTTGGAATACGATCATCAGCTTACCAAACGTGTTAGCTACAGCGGAGGCAAGGCCAGCGCAAAGCAACGCAGAAAAGACAGTCGAACGCATCTCAGTGTTCTCAATGGCTCTGGGTGTAAGAAGTAGGTAAATCATGGATTGAGATCGGACAGAAAGAGCCATGAATTGAAAAGAGGTCACTCTTATAAACATTGAACACCAACATTACAAGCCTCTGCATAGGTCCATCGATTCCAAGTCGGTGAGCCAGGCTCAAGGTCTCTTCCTTCCTCCAAGTTTGCCTCACCAAAATAGCAGATACCGATTGTTGACCTAAGGGATCTCGAGATTGGGGGACTAAATACACGTATTTGCGAAAGTCGATCTACACTTCCCGAAATGGAAATGTTTCGGCGCGGGTCGTAAAGTCTGGGCCCGGCATACACGTATTTCTACACTGCCACATTCGGGCCGGTGTTGAACTTGAGAAATTACGACTCTCTAATGTTCTCTGTCAAATGGGTGTCAACATAGGATGTTGGCCAATCAAAGATTATAACGCTTACTTACCTGCATATTATTGCTATTATTCTTCTTATTCCTTTCATTTTTATCATTTCCACTCTTACTCTTATTTCTTGAAAATTCATTAGAGAAACTCTTCAAACAAAGAACAAAATAAGGGGTGGTAGAAAAACCAGAGGAACAGAGCTAAGGGGGGTATTACCTATTGAGCGGCAAACGATTTTGTGACCCCCTGGCTTGCTCCTGTGTTGAGTTTCTGGTGCCGGGAATTGATCTTGTTCCGTCAAGACTAAACAGTATTCTTGATGTCAAAAAGAGGAAGAAGAAAAAAGGAAAAGGAACAGAAAATGGAGGTGTCTGTGTAGAGTGGCCCTTGTAGGCAATCAGCTCCACTTACACACCCATCTACCTTGCATCATACTTGATGATGATGCTGATGGTGGATGTTGTGGGCAGTCATTATCCCTCAGGAGATCGCTATCTAGTGCCCTAAGTTTTTGGAAGCTAGTGAGATACACGTATCTCGGAAGGTAGTATTTTCTGGCTTGTTGCCTATCAAGCGTATGCAAATCGCTTGTTTTATGCACCGCCAATGACCGGTCTTTTTGACCTCACGATCGGAATTAACTTAAGAACTCGCCTCGCCTACTTCGAGAACCTAAGATTGTTTTCTGCAAACCACCGTTTCGAACTGTCCCTGCTTTGATTACATCTCTTTAACCAAACGTCTGCCTTTTTCAATCATGTTCTCAAGCTTACTTCTCGCTGCCCTATCAGGAGCGGTAGCTGCAACCTCCTTTGCCAACCCGGGAAACCTCACTCTCGAGTACTTGGAATCCCTGCCAACCTTGAGTTCTGGGACGGAATGTGCCTGCAACCAGCTGTTAAAGAGATTTGGAAATGCCCTCCTGAGCATGAACTCAACTGACTATACGACTCAAGCCCAAGACTTCTACGACATCCGGGCAGTCCTTGAACCAAGATGCATTTTCATGCCGACGGATGCGCTACAGGTAGCCTCAGGCATGTCGATCCTCGCATCCTGTGGTGCGCAGTTCGCCATTCGTGGGGGCGGTCACATGAATGTAAGCAATCATTGTCGTTGCTGCTGCTGTTCTCTTGCTCTCGTGGGGTGCTGACGAGACTTCATGTCCAGTTTCCGGGATCCAATGACATAGACAACGGCGTCTTACTTGCACTTAACCTCCTGAACGACATTGAGATAAGCCCCGACAACTCGACTGTCAGTGTCGGACCCGGCAACAGATGGGTAGATGTCTACGAAGCCCTTGCACCGTATGGTCTCTACTGCATCGGAGGTCGCATGAAGACAATTGGGGTCTCTGGACTTTCGCTGATTGGAGGCTTCCACTACTTGACGAATAAATATGGGTTTGCAATGGACAACGTCGTGAGCTACGACGTTGTACTCGGCAACGGAACTCAGGTAGTCGCGAGTACAACCTCTAACGTTGACTTGTTCTGGGCATTGAAGGGTGGCGCGAACAACTTTGGAGCTGTGACAAAGTTTGTCATCAAGACTTTGCCTATTCCAAAGATTAGCACCACTCTGCAGGTCTTTGACGAGTCTGTGGTCCGAGAGTTCATCGACGCTACAGTTGATTTGGCGAAAAACCAAAACCCCGAGGTCGGCGCCGGTTCCATCATCACCATCACATACAACACCACTACCAAAGGCATTTCTGCCGTAGTTCGAGGTGTGCAAGAAGGCATTGAGTCACCACCCTCGAGCTTTCATAAGTTTTCAGACCTTCCGTCTGTCTTGACTGAGAATGTGGTCCAACGCCCCCTTGATTGGCATGCGCAGTTGGATAGCCCGTTCCAAATGTTCAGGTACGATCTCGCCGTCCTGAAAACGCAAAGAGTCAGATCCGGGTGATGCCTTCATTCAATACTAATGTCGCATTGCCGCAGAATTCAATTCGGTCACAAAACGATGAAAGCAGATGCAGATCAACTCTACCGTATTTATGAGGCCTGGAAAGCTGCCGTTGAGGACATCAGTGACGTGGAAGGTCTGATCGCGACTCTTGTTCTGAATACAATGGCGGCGAGCGCAATGAGAGTAGCCAAGAACAATGGGATTGGTAACACCTGGGGCCTGGACGATACCGAGCCATTGATCAGTAAGTTCCAAAGAGACCTGATTAGACGTACATCGCTAATGCTACAACACTTAGTTTGGCAAACATCTACCGCATGGGACAGTGAGGAGAGCGACTTACGTGTGACGAACTTTGCTCGCGGGGTTCTTGACGATATGCATGCTGAAAATCAGGCGAAGGGTCTTGCCTCAGAGTTCATCTACATGGGTGACGCAGCCGAGTTCCAGAATCCGTTTCTTGGGTTTCCTGCCGAGAACCTCGTGAGGATGAGAGACGTAAGGGCGGCTTATGACCCATTGGAGGTTTTCACGCGACAGAATTGGGGAGGATTCAAGCTTCCCAGGACTTGAAAGCACACTCCATGAGCCAGTAGTGTTGTGACTGTCGTGTGTAGATTCTAAACCTTCGTCTCATGCTGTGCCTCGAGCGCTTGCTGGAAGTCTTGCCGCTAACATTGCCATCGATCGGCTACTTGATCTTCTGCCTACAATTTTTCGGTAAAGCTACTCGATGAAGGACAAAATTTCAATTGTATTTCTTTATCTTCGTGTAACTCATCAAGTTCAACCTCAGGAAAAACTGTAACATAATAGCTCCTCAGGGCATTTCTCAATTCTTGAGAAAATTGCAACATCCAAGTGCGTGGAGGAAATTATGAACGCCATGGGCTCCTTGAACCGGTTGGTCTATGAATGGATCTCGCATTAACACTGAAAGGTGCATTCTGAAATAGGCAGAATGTGGTAGACAGGGCATAGGCCTCATAACTCAGGACTTGCTGCCAAACTTTGAGATCTCATAATTTCTCATTATTAGAACGGAGTCTAATATTCGCCCAAATTCTTGATTCCTCGACTCTAAGGCCGTTTCCCGTTCATTTGATGAAGCGTATGTGTTCAAGTCACCTCGCAATGCATAAGCGATATCGTCGTCATCTGAATTGGAGGTTTTAAGTTGGCCGAAGATATTAACATTGCTCAGACATCTAAGATGAACAAAAGAAACACGACATCAGATAAAGTGACTCGTTCTAGAAAAATTCCCACGGAGTTCATTCCATAGACTTCTTGGATGCCAGAGACAAAGGCATTTCCACAGTTTAGAAGCCTCGACTCAGTGACCACCATATTCTCTCTCATGAGTACTCTTGGGAGCCCACCTTGCACTCAGATCTTGAGCGCTGGAGGTTCCCAATGACACGAAACTTCTCAACTCCTGTGATGCTTCGGCGGAAATGACGTTTCCGTCTTCACCCACGGTCATTACCTTGCTGGGATGGAACACAGCTAGTATGAAAGTGACTAGAAAGATAAGAGCCGCGTCGAAGACGTAGAGGAACACCTCTGTGGTTTGCAAGCTGATAATATGAGTAATTAGTGACTAGAAAAGGAAGCAGAAGACGTGACAAAACTCACTATCCATTATAGCCTTGGATGTACTCAATGACGCGGAAAAGCGAACGGATCAAGACCAGTACACTAACGCCGTATAAGACCCAAAGAAACTTCTCCCATGAGGCAGCGTATCTCGGATTCTGACCTCTGTCTTGAGAAACGCGCCAATGAAAAACTGCTGTGACGGCAATGAAAAGAGCAAAGCCAACGAGCTGGATGAAAAGACCAACAATGATGACGTTTTCTCCCAGTTGAATCTTGCTCGGCGACTTGGCATTGGTGAGAATACCCCCACCTCCGCTCTGTACCAGAAAGGAGAGGATATCACTCGTGATGAAAACTTTCGTAAGAATCGTCGGCTTGACCGGGCTGTAGTCTTGGCCGTTTGATAGAATGATGAGGCGACCTAGCATGCCATAGATAGAAGCTGCGAGCAACGACGGGGCGATGAGCAGCATGAGAGACTGCAGTGCGTATGGCATTACCTGCCAATTCGGGGTTTGAGCTGCCGATATGGCACGTGCAACGTAACCAAGGATTTCGCAGATGATGCCGACGATGAATGGGATGAAGAAGCGGGTTCGTTTCTTGCAAAGGAAAATCGCGTGAGCGGCAAGAGTTGAAGAGAATAGGACGATGAAGACGCAGGCGGCAGCCAGTGAAGGGTCGTATAAGTAAAGAGATGCCATGACCTGGCTGTCGCTTCGCTGATGTATCGATGTCATGGTGGTTCGGGTATCGATAGGAAATGATAGATCTTTGATTGCGGTCCAAGCCAAGCTTTTATGGTTCAATTTAGAAAGGTGGTAGCTTCTGAGAAATTCGTTTTGCAACTGCTTGAATCGTCTGTCATTGGCATTGGCTTTTATACGGATGAAAGATTTTGGCCGACGAGAAGCTCGGTCTCAAACACGAATAATTCACTAGCATGTATCCCCTCGGTCTCAATCTTTTCCTTGAGATATTCAACTCAGCCTCTACCCTAAAATAGCATTGGAATGGGGTGGGGCGATCAGTCCTAGCGGTCCTTTTTAAAGCTAATTAAGTCTGGGGATCTGCGGGAGAGCTGATCGGAGTAAGATATAAGGAGAAGGGCCCCGATTAGAGACAGGAGCTTAGTAGCGCGGATTTTTATTTTAATTATATACACACCTTTTAGGATCGAACTAGAGCCTTTTTAATGATTTACTTTTGTACGTGATAATATAAGACGATTAGGAAGTCTACCCTTCCGATCCGGTTAATACTATCCTCTTTCCCTTAGTCGTAGCTCCGTTAATTAAGACCGTATTAACCCGATCGAAGGAGGTATCTTGTGTTGCTTTTGTAGGTGTTGGTAGTTCTTCTAAAGTACCGTACCGCGAGAGTCCCTTATACCCTACACGTTTTCAGCATCTTTGTGGATTGTACGTATGGAGTGACTGCCGTATGGAAGTTGTGCCCCCTGAGCTACTAATCGCGACAGTCACTCTGTCTGTATCAGCATTCATTGTGGTGGCTTAGCGACTGTATGACGATCTCACGCTACCGGTACGGCGAGAAATTTGCTATGTTGCTGCCTAGGAGGACAGTTGACCAATCTTGTCGGTATCAGAAGATGCGTTGCTCCTCTTAACATCAGACTAGAGAACTTCGATCTCGGCCCTAAAAAGATGGATCCTGGTTTGCAAGAGGGCCGAGGACCCGAGATACACATAAATGCTTGTCTTATGGAGAATTGTGGAGATACGCGTATTCAATCCTAGCCATCAGGGGTACGGATGTAACATCAACGAACGCTCAGCCAACTAATTAAATACTTGGACCCTGCTTTGTGCTACCTAGCGATGTTGTCAGCTGCTGACCGGACTTAATGCATTTCATACCGTCAAGTTCAGAGGGAGAGTCGAATCATGACATGAAGAGCTTTATCCTTTCCCATGGCCGGCAGTTCATCCTTTGAAAGCAGAGGAGCAACAAACTCGAAAGAAAAGTTCCAAAGGATATCCAATCGCCATGTTACGTCGTCAACACAAGAAAAGTCGTAAAGGCTGCACTGAGTGTAAGCGGCGACACATGCGAGTAAGCTGTTTCTCGAACCAGCATTACCATTGGCTCTTTCCCTTCTCAAGATTTCTCTCGTGCATAGCATCTGATACTGACATTCTTTGCTTTTGAATAGTGCGATGAACAACGGCCCACATGTTTCAACTGCATCAAGGCCGACCGCCTCTGTTCTTTTGGCGAGGAGCCATACATACGGGTAAGTCAGCCACGCCCATTTGCGAAGGCAAATACGTGTAATTGACCAAACCAAACAAGGGCCATGATGTGTCCCCTCGATCGAATCATCACTCTGCTAGGACATCACCAGATTTCCAGCCAAACGGAGACCCCGACGCCGTCAACATGCTTCACATGGAATTACTTCTCCACTTCAGCTTCGACGTCTACGTTCCCGAATTCGATGACAACCTGGGGAGACCTGCAACCGAGCTGGTTCTGGACATCGCCCAGGAGGCACCTTTCTTGATGCAGGGGGTCCTGGCCATGTCTGCACGCCATCTTTCCATTATTCGGCCCGAGAAGTCGGCGCTTTACCTCGATCAAGCAGTCAGGTTGCAAACCAGAGCGATCGAAATGTTCAACATGACGCACCATGAAGAAGGCAGGAGCACATGCGTAGCCCGACTGTTGTTTTCTTCTGTCCTTGGCCGCCACATCTTGGCTGATGTGCTTCGTGATGATGGCCTGGACTTCCCTAGCTTCTTGAACCGCTTCACTCACGGCGTTAGGATTCATGGCGGAGTCAAAGCCGTCGCCGCTCAACAAGATTGGGTTTCTCTTTTGGAGACTGAATTCGGCCCGCTGATGACCAGGGGATTGGCGGCGGACATGTACGATAAAACCATTGAGCCAAACGAGACTCTGCAGTCTCTCATAGCTCACTCATCCAACTTGGATGAAGAGGAAAGGTCAGCATGTGAGATGGCACTTCGACTGGTGGATACCGGCCTCCATGACCTAAGGGATCCAACCAGGGTGGAGTGCGGACGACGGATGATGTTTACCTGGTCGATCATGCTGTCTGATCTTTACATCTGCCTTTTGGAGCGCCAGGCCCCGGAGGCGTTGGTGGTTTTAGCACGATACAGCATGTTTCTTCACTTCGGTAGGAGCTTTTGGCAGATCGGAGAGGCCGGGCCGCACCTTCTACATGCCATCAGTGCTCACCTGGGACCGATGTGGCAGCCCTGGCTATCATGGCCGGAAGAGATTCACGATGTTGAGCATGGGACATTTTCTGGGACACAAGGAAATGTTCTTGCGTAATCATCTGGAGGGTCAAAGGAGGAAGCATTAGGTATTGGAGACTCTCAATTACTAATACATGTTTAATCGCATGGCCCCCAACAAGTCTTGTTATGAACAAAGACGGGAAACCTTTACAACTTGGAGTTGAATCTGCCCCGTATGCGCTCCCCGAAGACGTAGAATGATACCAGGATTGGAACAAGACTCAATGCAATGAACCCCAACAAGCTATTCCCCCAACCCAGGCCCAAAGCGTCATACATTTCCAGTCCAGACAAGGGCAATAGAGCACCAAGGAGCGACCTCAAAATTGTCAGTGCCGCTGTCACTGAGGCGGCATATTGCGGATAGGCATCAATGAGATAGTTTTGAATACATGTCTGCCCTGTTGTTAGTAAATGTAAGCAAGATCTACTAAGTGTTTTCGAACTTACCATTGTACCCATCAATCCAATACACATAACCATGACGCCCAACATCGGAACAATCCAGTGGACCCCATTCTGTACCGTCCAGCCGTAGAGAAACAAGCCGAATGGTAAAGCCAACGCACAAGGAACAGTCATGATTGGTTTCAATCGGTCTTCGGGCTTGTGCTCTAAGCCTCTGGCTTTCGTCCGCTTCACAATCAAGTCGGTCAACTGCCCAAAACCGATCACGCCAACGACCATGCCAATGCCGGCGGGAAGGAAAGAGAGACCGCTCGAACCCTCGTCAAATCCATAGTATTCTGTGTAGACAAAAGTGAAAGTTGCTACCAGGAGGTACAGGATGCCGTAAGAAATAGCGATGTAGAGGGCGTTGAGAGTGACCACAGGAGTGGCTACCAAGAGCTTGATCGGGCGCATGGCGGCAAGACGGAGTTTCTCTGACATACGGGTCTGTTGTTCGAGTCTGCTTCGTATCTCTTGGTTTCCAGTCTTCTTCCGAAGACGGCTGGCTTTGTGCTCTAGAATAGCAGGGGGGTACGTTTCCCGTAATACAAGAATTGAGACTGGAATGAATAGTCCTGCCTGAAAGAGCGCCGTCAGTCTTGGAAGTTCCTAACGACATATCGTAAGACCGAGAGACATGAACTTACTAGAATACTGATAAGCCAAAACACCCACCTCCATCCAGCGGCGCGAATGAGATAACCGCCGGCGACCGGCCCAACACATGGGCCCAACAAGGGACCCAGCGCCCAGATTGAAACGGCTCTACCTCGCTTCTCGGGCGGCATCATATCTGCGATGCTTCCGCTCCCAATAGTGAGGGGAACAACGCCAGATAGACCCATCAAGAGGCGAAAAGCAAGCAACATTCCGATGCTACTGCTCAGCGCTGTCCCGATTGTGAATCCTGTGAAGAGGATATTCCCAAAGATGTAGAGGTATCTGCGGCCGTATAGTTCGCTGATCGGGGCTACAAACAGAGGTCCAAGGGCGAATCCGAGGACGTAGATCGAGAGCAGAAAGGTTGCAGTAACGGAGCTGTCATCGTGGAATTCTTCCACGATAAGGGGAATGCCAGGCGCGAACATTGAGGAGCCCAGAGGTCTGGAAATGTCAGCACCAACCAAGAGATATTTCAAGAAGCCAAGAGCCTGAGAATTACTGACGTAACTACGCTGAGAAGAGACAGTATGGCGATGTTCAGCCCCTTCTTTTCATCTGACCAATTCAAGGGGTGCTCAGGGTCGCATTGCCCGTCCCAGTCGATGATGAGAGCTTCTGCGTCCACTGCATGGACAGCTTCAGGATCATGATTCTGTATGGGGGCCTTCGAGGCAAGGTTCTGAGCTTGTGGCTCTGGCATATCTGGTAGGATTATGTTGGGAGCCTCAGGAGCAGCTTTCGAATCCGATGTTCCTTCCATAACTGCAAACGAGATCAAAATTCTCACTCGAAAGAATTCGAGGACCATTCTGCACATATGGACTTTTAGTATCAGACAGCCCCTGTTATCGGCCGTGGTAAACCGCATGGTATCAGAAGACGCACAATCCCTGAAACACGCGTATTTGATGTGGGAACGTTTAGTTCCCGTGGTCATTACAGGCATTCAGCAACAACTCCGAACCGAGCAATGATGGAATCATGCGGAATGTGTCCAACAAGCTTCTAGCGGCGTGTTGGTTGCATTCCGGTATTTTCTGGCCCAGCTCCAGGAGGATCCGGGACTCCGCGCCGTCTGTGGGTAGGCGGAGCTGTTCAGTAATTTTCAACCTCGGCTGATTGGAAGTCTCTTAAGGATTTTCTGGAAGTTGAGGCCAAGTGCGGAAGTCTCAAAAGACGTCATCGATAGACAGAATAAGAAGATCGGTCGATATGCTATGATGTAAGTCGGCACGCTTGACCCTTGCATTCCATTTTGACGTCGCTCCTACACCACATCACACCAAAAGCCCTGCTTCTACACACAGTGTAAAGGAGTCGATTATTTTTCATCAAAATTCGTCCATGATCACACTCAATTCAGCAATGACTGAAGGTCATTTGCGTTGCAGGCATGATGGATGGTAGACCCAAGATTGAACTCAAAGAGACACTGCCAAGGACGATCACCCAAAATCAGTGATATCACATCACTTTTTCAATTGCGAATATTACTCAGCTGTTCAATAATCACTTAGACTGTCTCTGTTTGTCTTCATTGATGTATCTAATTATCAACAGGAGGCAGCGGAATTGCAATAGGCTCTTGCTCGCCAGGTGCCAAGTCAGGACCATCAGGGTCCGGGATGTCTTTGGTACAGTCCTGCCCGTCCTTCAAACCGTTGTAGAATATCTGTTGATAAGCCCCATCGAGGGATCCTTGGATATTGGCATCGTTAAACGGCACTTGGGTCTTTTCGTATTTGACGTCAGTCAAGGCCTGCCTCGCTGGGCTAGGTAACGAGCTCCACGCGATAAGAGTGCGATTGGAGGCCGCGGATATGTCTGTATCTTGAAAAGGTGCCATGGCGTTATCGTGGATTGAGACAATCGGGTTCGTGGGTGAAGTTCTGAATTTGAGGTCACCGACAGCCGTAGTACCCCATCTCAAGTGGTCGACCGTGTATGAGATGCCAACGACCCGGTATGAGGAGGGTTTCTCGGCGTTGCAACCCCATCGATTTATCCAGACCACAACGCTGGCCCAGTAGTGGCGGTGCCCCTCATCGTTTCCCTTGCCCCACCGAACCTTGGGGAAGTAGTAGCTGTAAATGATGGCATCACGTCCGTGACTGCTTCCGTGGCGAGCGTAGACTTGGCCGGCGCCGCCGTTGCCGCAGCCTGATCTCCCGCCGCCTGTAGGCTTCAGACCTGCTCTATTTTATTCCATTAGACATGATTTTGTTTTTATGACGAACAACGTGGAGGCTTACCCAAGAGCCCCGCTGGCATCAACTGCAGGATACGGATCACAACCTCCAGTGACGGCAAGGAACGGGTTAAATCTACGTTCCAGACGACCGTCTGTCCCGGGAGAGGAGTCCTGTTTGAAAGGTGTGATCATATCATGATTGGCCCATGGATGACCACCTGAATCATCGCCTCCGCGAGGCAAGATGGCAGCTAGGGCAGCCTCCGAGAAGAGGAGGCATACTGTAAGAAGGTGCTGAGCTCTCACAAACATGTTGTCAGTGGATGTATAAGTTGAGCTGAGACAGAGGTTATAACACTAGCGAGTCGCTGATGGAATATCTCGAGAGGTGCGTATACTTAAGAGATAATGATAACGATGTTGATATGGGCATTAGTGGTTGACTCCGATAAATTCTGCCCGCCCTGCTTCAAGTTCTCAGTCGTCGTCCATTTGAGTTTGATTAGACGGCTTCGCCGGCCGCCGCACGGCACGGCACAGTGGCCAGTGCCACCAGAAGCTTCTTGGTCATGGCGAATAAAATAACGAGAATTAGACTATGGACTGCCAAACTTGGGCAATTACATGACTATCTGCCTTCGGCAATATCGACGGTGTTTGCGTTCATCTCATCCGCAAGAGCTAGCTCAAATACCTCCAAGATATACGCGCCGATTCATCGAAGCTTTTTTACCAGTGGAGTCATTGCTCATTGTAAGTTTCCTAATATCATTGAACTGGATAAAATTAGTGTTCTTGCTAGGAGCCAGCAACTCCCCGTTGTGCCCTTCCCGCATTGAATTACTCCCGCCAAGAATGAGACTACAGCTGACTTTTCAGGAACGAGGCACTTCATATATTACCGAACGCCAGGAAAACTTAAAGCCAATGGTCATTTCCGCAATATGCTCACTCATTCTGGATGCGCTGGAAGATGTGATTTAGGTAATGCTTCTTTACATTATCTAAACGACATCCGGCTTACGTCCAACTTTTTCCCTCCGAAGCTTTCATTTCTACTTGCCCATTGTGTCTCTTAAAGCCATCAAGACTTCTAACTTACAATGTCAAGCACGTCAAACTCCTTCGGGGCAAGCGGTCTTCGACTCCTCTTGTCATGGGCAGTCCTCCAAGTAGCCCTCGTTGGCGCATCCCCCACACCAGTCGCAAGGCCCGACACTCTTCCCTACCCTGACCACGAACCTCTCGCCAAGCGAGTCGTAGGACAGTTTCCCAGCTTTCCAAATGATTACAGTGGTCGCGTCCAAAAGGGTGTCTACCTCCGTACGCTCATGCCGCTGAGCGACGCGGAGGCGACGCGCCATAACCGCGGGGTCAGCGTTGCGAGCCCATGGCAGAACCAGGCCGCCGTCGAACAGTGGGGGTGGACGCGCGAAATTAACTGGGCGCCGTTCAACACTAACGGCGGCGACGAGTTCAGTGACGGCGATGACTTTGACCAGTTTGAGACCTCACCTGGTTTCGGTAATCTCATGGACGATGTCTTCGCAGACCCGAGTCATCCAGTAGACCCGATGGAGAATGGGCTGTCTACATTCCTGCATGCAAATGACTTCACACTCCGGGATGGCTCGTGGGGAGAGGTCAGTTCTGAATTTCGGCTCCTACGAAGCCGTCAATTTCGGCCTTCAATATTCTGGATCTCTTACTAACATGTTACTCTCTTCCTCCAGCCATCACAAGCCTCCTACCAAAACGTCTTCAACCCTCGCTCAGGAGCAATCATCTTTGACAGAGACTTCAGCCCCCGATATCAAATAGCCGAAAGCGGTGCCGGCGACGTCCCAGAACTTGAACAGCTCTCCGACCTCGCCTACTTCCAATGGCTCGATGCCTGCGCAGCAAAGCGTGTTCGCCCTAACAACATTAACCTCATCTTCCAGTCTCACATCACCTATGTCCCCAGCTTTAACCTCATTGCGCAGGCTCTGTATGACGCCGGGTACCGCAGGGTGCCAGGTTGGGGCGAGAGGGCGACATTTTCAATGGATTCTCGGCCGGGATTGGCCATTCTCGGGAGCACACACGGCGCCGCTCCGGCCTTGTTCCTCATCCAGCACAAAGCGACATTTGGCCGGAAAGTAATTACGGAAGTGACAGTATGGGGAGGCGCGAGCGGTTTCAGTTTCAGAGCGAACCCAGAAGTTGAGACTCTGAACTTGAGATTCACCGTGAGGGACGCCTGAGTAATTTCTCCACGACATCAAGGAGGCTCTAGAATACGAATAGAGAACGTAAAGTGGTTATCTGGACTGCATGGATTCGACGTTCTTTCAAGTGAGCTAGATCAAACGACCTTAATTATGTGCTCTTCGAGACAACTTTGGTTTCGCCTTCATATCCTGCATAAGTTTCGGCACAGAGTTGCGATAGGTTTTAGAGACTGAGGTAAGTTGTTCGCTGCTCCACCTTGTACATCATATTGCCTCAGATCCTGAATCGCACACGCAAAATCCTTGCTTGGGTTCGCATACTTCGTCCCACTTCGACTACCAGAACTCAGATTATCTAGAGCATTTTGCATGCCCTCGTAAGTTGCGATCTGATCGACAAATTGCTGCGTGATGGTCTCTTTGCGGCGAGTATCGGGTCCTTTCCATGCATTGGTATAGTAGTGTCCCAACTTGGCGCAGTGAATAAGAAGCGCTGCGAGGCCAGCTGCAAGAGCCGTGGCAACTGACGAGCCTGTACGTCCATTCCTAGTGACAAGATCACTGATTTGTGACCCCAAAGCCTCTGACATGGTATCGGAATCATGGCTGTCACCTTCAAAAACATCCTTGATATCCACGCCTGGGAATAGGTAGTTCAGCCCATTCTGGTCCGTAACTTCTGGCCAGACCTGTCCGTGAGGATCAGCAGCACCAATACAAAACACTTTGGCGTTGTTGATCTCCCGCGGAAACTCTCCTCTATCACCGCGCTGACTGCGTCCTTGGATTCCATCGTCGCTCGCTGCGCAGAACATGATGGGAATCCGACGGCATTGACTGCCGGTGCCCTCACATGCGCTCACGACATTGCGTAGCTCCATGAGCGTGGCCTCTGAAATCTTGTTATTGTCGTTGCGGATGGTCCAAGACATACTAATGATGTCGACGTCTTGCTCTATGGCAGCTTTGATAGCCTGCGCAAGTCAGTCAGATCAATAGCCTTTTCAACTAATTACCGGTTCAGGATCACAAAGCCCGATGACAGAACTTCGCTCGAAAAGGGCCTTGAAACGTGGGGCTATGATGCTTACCTTAGCTGCACTGCTTGCATCAGGTACTCGCCGATTGCTGGATGCGTCTCGGACGGTTTTCAAACGATAAGGTATTATGTCTGCGAAGGGGCAGATGCGAAGAATTGTTTTTGCCATAAATGTTCCGTGGCCACTGACAGATGAATAAACCGGGTTGGGCCCATCAGGCGTTTGGTCGAAGCTTCGACCTTCCAAGAAGCGCGACTCTAGACAACGCATGCTCTTGCTAAAGAGATCAACCCCGTCGTCAATCAGTGCAACCCTTACTCGACGCAGGTGCGGGTTCTTGAAGTCATAGTCTGGCAGCTCCTCCGGTGTGGGGATAATCGAAACAAACTCTTCAACGTACTTGAACCACGGCTGTTCTACAGATTCTGGGGCAGAACCCGCAGCACCATCGGGCCCAGCTGCGCCTGTCGGCGTGACTCTGCCCACGTCTACAATTTGAATGGTCGGTAGACTCTTGTAGTCGTCGAAATGCTCATGTGCTTGGACCAACATTGATTGCCTGGACGACTGCATTTGTACTGGCGCCTTAGTACTAGTTGAGTTCTGATTCGCCTGTCCCATCTTCACCGGCCGTCGCCTTGGCTGCTTCATGCGCCTTGTGAAGCTTTCGAGGTTCTTTCGTATGCGACTTTCCTCGATCGATGGTACCGTGTAGTAGAGATACACCTTCTGCAAATATTCAAGAGCAGGTAGTCCCTCAGGCTCGCTCCACCCACGCAGGACAGAGTTCCGACCACTCCAATGCAGATGCAGTTCGCGAACCTGCGGCGTTGCTGTCTGTATCACCTCGGGGCAGAGATCTTCCTTGTGCCAGTTGAGAATCTCGACATCAAAAGAGGGATACTTCTTTTTTCCGCGCACAAAGCCTGCTAGAGCCTTTTCAACCTCCTCGTCTCGGTGAGGGTGGTCGCCGTCAAAGACAACAACCTTGAAGATCTTGCGAACACCCCACTCCCTGAACCAATTAAAGAATTGAAGATGATCTGTATAGCGGGATGAACCATTAGGGGTTTTCTGATCATTCTCAAGGAGGATCGTAGCCGGCTGAAGAAAGACATGACGAAGAGTGTGGTAGTGATCCCGTTTGCCAAAATAATTCCTCACTTGGTTCTCTGTCATATCACGGTATTCCTTAGCCGTATCCATTGCGAAATAGTAATCTGAGTTCTCGGATATTAGCATTCATACAAAAGCAATTGAATAGTGGCCAAGATGCCACTTCCTCATCAATCAATTTAGGGGAAGAAGGAAGGGGGTGTGACGACGCCATGCGGGCATTAGAACCAAGCTACCTATGAAGAGCTGAAGGGATTCTACGCCGGGGGTTCTTCAGTGTTTGAAACTTACGCTGTTCGTTATTTCCGAAAAATCGCTGGATTTCGGCGTCAATCTCCCGGAATGCGTTCCTCGTCTCATCGTTGTGGAAAACAGTCGACCGCAGAAAGCGAACTCCGAGCTCCTTACAAATTTCATCGCTGGCTTTGTCTGCAGCCTCAACATCTTGTTTAGTGAAGCGTATCTCTTTCGGTTTTCTCCCATTTGTCAGACCTCCGTTGCGCAATAGCGGACGACGCGAAACCTGACCTTCTTTTCCCCGACCCTCTGAAACAGATGGCTGATCCATAATCGTGGGCGGGTGGCTAGGTTTCAATATGCTTGGTTTCGCCGGTCTATCAGCATCGAAACTTGGACTCGAAGAAGGTATCCGCGTGTAAGAAGCAGTCATAAGACCCTTCAACATCATTCCGGGCTTAGGCTGTGTTCCCCCAAGCCCTCTTTCGCTCGCGATCTCAGAGGTAGCTAGTCGATCAGGTGGGCCTACTTGTGTCGGCGTAGATGCATTCATTTGCCGAAGATGCTGATTATGCCAAGATTCCCTGGTGGTAATATGCCACCTGTAAACGCTGTACTCGGGTTGATGAAGAGAGTTGTTCGCTTTCCACGGCTGAAGTCTGACCTCTTTGGTCACCAAATCGTGGATGCTATTGGGGCATTTGTCGAGAATTAGCCTCACCAATGCTAGTTGACGGTCAGGGTCACTGAGACACAAATCGAAACGCAGAACTTGCTCCAGCGGACTCAATTCGTTGTTGCTTTTGAAAAGCATCTCCGGAGCCGCAAGGTTGACTAGAATCTCTAGAAGGTCTATGTTGACCGGGAGCAACTCGTTGGGTTTGTCATTGAAGTTAAAAGCAGCTTGAATAATTTCTCGACCAGCTTCTATGGTGTCGGGATTCTGCTCGTTCTCTTCGAACCAGGTTTCAGCGAAACCGAAGGTCAGTGTCGCTAAAGAAGCTAAGTTGCGCTTCTTCATATCTTGTGCCATGAATTCGATGACGACACGAACCATCTTTTTCGAGCGTCTCCTGATGAACTCTAGCAGAGGAACGGCTCCACTAAAGTTCATCAAAATTGCTTCTGGTAACTTTCCGAGGATGGTGTTCAGGACCTCCGGAGGGCAATTATCTGCTCTTCTGGCATCGCGCAGAAACTGGTGAAGAATCGTGCCGTCTTCGTTAATCTCGTCGGCATGATCCTCGACGAAGCAAATAAGTTCATGAACACGTTCCTTTTCAGACTGGGGATCTCGCTGCTCGCCCGCTTTTATGGCGTCGATCTCGCCTGATATGTGATGGAAGACATCGACAAAGTCCTTTTCAGAAGAAGGAGGCGTCTCCATTGTTGCCATGGGTTCGTGGGTGAGTTTTGGGCTCATGTCCTAAAATGCGGTGCTCAATTGTGCCGAATGATTGCGCAGAACTCAGAGCGATAACGTACTGGTCTGCGCACGAAATTCCTAGCTTGAAGCGATTGTCATTCGTGACGCTCCCAGGTCGATGTTTGGACGAGAAGCAAAAGATTTTGTTCTGAGCTACTTGCATTTGCACGTAGGCATCGCTGAGACGGGAGAACCCGAGACACCGAGGCCACAGTCCATGTACAACGCGGTTACATGCTAACTTGAAAACTCTCTCTTCGCCATCATGATTGACATATAGTTACCTATGCGATACATTGCGGCATCATCCGATTATCCGAGTCTAGTTGGAAGAGCGAGCAAGTTGGTTGGAAGCTTCCCCTGCATATGCAGCCAAGCCAATATTGCACCCATCTCTGCAAGCTTGACTCTCAACTTGCAACTTGCTACTCCAACGTGCTTCTGTTCACCATCGCCGGGATTCGTCCTACTCCAGGCACACTAGGATACCCGTAATTTTGCGAACAAGCTTTAAGGCGCAGACGTATCAGCAGTGGTTTTCCAGGAATAGCCTCGCGCAGCCTTTGTGGCACCGTTCATAGTTTCACAGCCACATTGTGTTGGTTGTTTTGACGTTCTACAAACAAGTGCCTTGTTTTCGTCTTGTTTTCGTCGTCCATAAAAGAGTGGGCATCCCCTCCGAATCATAATACTATCTATGTCTACATCAAGCAACACTGCCTCGTTAACAATCAAGCAATCACCCGTCCCTCATACAATCCCTGTCATCTCTCGGATACTACTCAGTGGTCAAGATGTCAGATAGCGAATCAGACGACTTCTCAGACGTTGGTACGGTGATCGACTTCGGCTTGGGTGCGGTCAGTGAGGCCCAATGCCAGTTTCGATTCAACTCAGACGGCATCTATACCCCGCGCGAGACTGCAGTGTTGGTCCGCTGTTCCTTAGCCGACATTATTCACGGCCAAGCTAGTCTAGATGATGCCACCCCATGTGTCCTAGTTGTTTTCGATTTTCAGCTGGACCGGATCAAAGCGACGCGAAGGATACGCCAAGCCATCATAAGCCTCACTCTACCTGAGGGCATTCGCGTGCGCAAAGGAGGCCTCTCGCCGAAGGGAAGAGTTTCATTCCACCCACAAGCAATGACTCTCTCGCGCAGTAATGAGAGTAGTCTGTCCGCAGGCTTGTGTTATGGTGCCTCCATCGAATGCGGTGTCAAACGCAGCGAGACGGTCAGCTTGGACACGACGGAGTACGCCACTGTTAATGGATGGACAACACGACAACCGAAGGGCAGAGTAAATGACCAACGGCCGCATAATTGCGTCAAATGGGCGCTAATGGAGAACCCCGCCCTGCCCAAACACGGTGTCCCGCCTCATTTTCGTGCCGCTGTCTTACTTGAGCGGTGTAATGGAAATACGATGGACAGACCCTTCGTCCTCGAAATGGAAATCAAGTCTTCCGTTGATCTGAAAACATCGATCGAGGATTTGACGGAGATGTTTGGCAAGGTGCCTCGAGGTTGTTTGAGAGTTGATCCCTTCAAACAATCCACCGAAAACCTGCGCAAGTATGATTCGAAACAGCTTGCGGATGTAGTGGGTGACCTTTGGGGATTGTCTTCTGGCGCCTTAGAGACTGAGTCATTCTCAAGAGACTTTGTACGGTAGTGTTCGAGCGGCACAAGCGGGTAGTTGGTTGGTATTCATGGCAAGGTGCATGTAAACGCTTTCATCACATCGCATTGAATCCCTGCATGTAACCTGCGTCTGTCGCTTAGCCTCGGAACAGGAACCCCAAGTTAGGTCAAAGATGGCCAGAAGTAGTCACAGCTAGCTTCGATGTATTTTCAAGTACCCAGCATGTTACTTTATGAATGCGTGATTTGTTGTTGGAATGTTGGACAGAAATCAACCCAATCTGAGCAATCAGCTGATGTATGAGTAGCCGGCCTAAGGCGGCTTCCTTCCCTCTAATTACCAATCCATCTTTCTCGGAAACATATTTGTTGCGAAATTGGGATATCTTGGGGACGTTATTTCCCACAGAATCATGAACGACAGCCAAAAGAGCAAAAGTTGCCCTATAAAAGAACAAGATCATGGAGTTACTCGAGAGATTCGATGCGGAGGATGGTGACTCAGATAAAGAGTATGTTGCACAATGACAATGCTGCTGTGATTTATCTCGTCAAATCCTTCTTCGATTCAAGCCTAGTTACGAGATGTTATAGTAACTAAACATATGGAAGCATCCTTGTGGTCCATGGATTGTCATATAGCGGTGGCAGCCCTTGGGAGGCAACCCCGACCAAACCGGCCTGGCTGAGACAAGATTTGTTCAATGATAGCAACTCCAACATCATTGCTTTCAACTACGAAAACTTTTTTGACGGCCAAAAGCCCATGTGCACTCGTGCTGGACTGGAGTTCGTTGCCTGTCAGCTTTTAGACGATATCATGGTTTGGAAGGCATCGGAGGTCAGTATCATCAAAATTTCCTATAACCAGACGCAATTGCTGACCTAGCCTTCAAAGGGAGATCGTCCACTTGCCATTCTAGCCCACGACACGGGTGGTGTGCTTATTAAGATGGTAGGTTAAGCCAAATTACGTCTCTAAACCTGTTTCTATTATTTGTAGAACCTCTCCAACTTAGGACTGACTACATAGTGGACTGCAGGCCTTCATCATTGCTGCTGGCAACCTAAGCAAGTACAGTCCATTGCTGTCCTCTGTTTCTGTCTTAGTAAGTCAATCTTTGAACTTCATCTGGAGAGATTGCAATGCTTACAAGAGCAAAGATCTTCATCGGCTGCCCACACAAAACATCGAGCGCTGAATCACTTGTTAATGGGTTTGCGACTTTGATCTATAACACTCACAGCATTCCCAGTATCGGCCTTTTCCAAGCTGCCAAACTATGCGCTGAAATGACCACAGATGTGAATCACCTGTTTTTGAACAGCAATCTACCTTTCATGGTGCACATAATCAGCGTTTTCTCGGAGGCACCGAATTCTATTGACCGAGTAAGCACACATACCTGATGTTTGAGTCCTGTCATCCCTCTCCTGTCACAAAAGTTACAACATTATCATAAGGGCGATCATGCAAGATGGCAATTGGGTCATAGAATCGCCATGAACCTTTTTTCAATTCAGTCCTGACCCTATCAGACGTTTGATGAGTTCACTGCTACGCTTGACCTCAGTTGCGAAACTCGCATCGGATTACCACACCCTCACGGCACCCTGCTTGGTCACGAACTCGACGAGAGAGCGGATAAGTTGCTCAAGGGAAAACTTCAGGTTTTAACTACAGGTAACGCGCCTAGATATTTCTGTGCACTGAATACACCATCGACATTTCTATATGATCACAATCACTAATTTACGCTTCCCTTAAAAGCAAGCTTTAGCAGCCAGAGGCTACAAGTCCTGCTCTCATCTGTGTCTCCGCCACCTACCTTTCAAGCGGGGCTTGAGTACAAGACATTGGATAATTTGGGATTTGAAGAAGACCTCGATGAGTGGATCGAAGGTCGTACATCAAGCAATACCCGATATATCTGGGCTCCTACGGAATCATTCCCATCGGGTACGATTGGCAGTTTCGTTCGATCGGTGTCGAAAGCAAACCAGCTGTCAGCACCCAAGATAGAGATTAGAGCTTTTATCTACCAGTTTCGAGAGATTAGAGCACATACACAGATTCAAGCGAAAATCCGCTTGAGCAGTATGCGGAATGTGCTCGAGAGCTTCCTAGTCCAGGGTCTTGCGTACATCTCTCCTCGGATGGAGCAGGACATGGGTGTGGCGAGCTTACTTTCGTTGTTTGAATCAACCTACTCGCCTGCGAAGCCATTGGGTGAAGACTCGCTTACAGTTCTCTTCGTCGTTCTGCACAATTGTCTTCGGCGCAACGGCATTCGTCCAATTTGGTGTGTTTGGAACCTAGAACACTGTGGCGGCGATACGGAGGTGACCAGGTTAGTGAGCAACTTCAAAGAGCTTTTTCGGTTGACCGCGCTCAAGCCTGCGGTACTATTTTCCTGGTTGGGACAATCAACCTCTGATTTTGAGGGAATTATGCAAGATGCCGGCATTCATCCTTTTCAATTAGGGTCTTGTTATCAACGCTCTCAAGATCATAGCAGTCAGATCTCTTCAGAATCCTTAGCTTCACACGGCAGCCACGCGTGCGTCGGTACGTTGCCAGAATTGATCGAGGCTGCCTTGTGCAACACCAAAGACGACGATCTTCGCCAGAGTTTCATGCAATTCGCCATTAGGACAGCACAAACAAGCGTATCAGGCGTTCAGTATTACCGAAGAGTCCACGAGGCCATCGACGACAATGGGAAGCTTGATCCACACGCCCTGCAGACTGCAATAGCGGGTTTTCTTACAAGAGATGAGGATGTTTTTACGAATACCGCCCTTCTCTGGGTCCAATTCGGTTGCCGACCTCTTTCTCCGACTGAGCTTGTCACTGTTTTAGCTCTGGAACGGAGCCTAGCCAAATCACATGGAACCGAATTCATCTCAGGTCAATGCCGTCTTGGAAAAGGTATAGAAGACACCTCATCCGCTAGCTTTTACCCCATCCAGAACCATCTTTCAGGCCTTATACAAGTAGTTGATGGCGAGTGTCGGCTCACTTACGACATTACTGGCGAACCGAACGACACTGGCCCCTGGCATTCCCATAATGCCAAATCAAACTTATGGATACTGCGCTGTCTGCTCCGGCATTTGGGTATCGAGGCAGAGCAAAAAGGCCTTGACAGTCAAAGTTCACAATCCGAGTTCATCCGACGTTCACCATCCCACCACGACTTGACGACGTATGCCGCCAAATTTTGGTCACATCACTACAGAGTTGCTCAATCTCACACATCGACAAAACTAGAAGCCGAAGCCATGGTAGCCAGATTCCTGAAGGTCAACCACGCCGCGACTTTCCTTATGCTCCGACATGTTCAACATGCTGTCGTAGAATCTCCCAGGAGGGCGGTTTCTGAAGATACCACAGCTACTGCGGTGGCTCTTCTCGTATGTCATGGTTTCCATGACATCGAGGAGATCGGCATGCTTGCCAGCTGTCCCGGATGGGAACGTAGCCCCAAGACTGTGTTCCCTGCGCTTTTGGAGGCAGTCAGGGGCGGCCACATGACACTTCTTCCGAAGCTCCCTGTTTCTGTCCTCGGAGACAAGGAAGCAAGAAAGGTCTTTTCAGCAGTTGAACCAGGTAATCTCACACACGACTGCATCCATGATCTTTTCCGACAAGCGCAGTCTCGGCAGAATTTCCAACCCCCGTTCGAATTGTTTTTCTGCGCGGCATTCGCTGGCATTCAAGTATGCCCCAAAAGCATCGAAGATTGTAATATTGACAGCTCCACGTGGCTCACATGGCTATTGAAGGCCATTGCTTTCCCGAGATCGGATGCCACAAAGATGATCTCACGGCTTGCAGAACCTCACCTCAGTGAAGACCAAAAGGCTGACATCTTGCTCGCTGCAAGCCTCGTATGCGATTGTAAGGACGTCTTTGCGCTTATGAGCTGGCTCAGATTAGGCATCTCGTCCCGATCTCTGCGAGCGCTTATTTACTCGGGCAATCATACTGCTTTGGAGAAGCTGCTGGCGAGCCAGTCTCAGAACGAGTATTTCTCCAGTGTAGGACTCAAGGAGAGTCTCTACATGGCCGTGGATCACTCTTCACTGGAAATTGTGAGAGTACTCCTCGGCCATGTTGATGTTGTCCAAGACAAGGAAATCCTTATGGATTGCTTGAGTCGTGCTATACAGAAATCAGCATCCAAGGAAGTCTGTCTCTTGCTTCTAGACACGGGAGTCGAGACTGATTACGGGCGTCAAGAGCAGTACTTGAGTGACGCCGTGAAGCAGGATAACACGGAGCTGGCACAAGTGTTCTTGGATTGCGGGGTCGGCATAAACGCTCAAGAATTCTCAGGCGAACCGCCTCTTTACGTGGCCGCGAAAGAGGGCACGCTATCCATGGTGGAGTTCCTCGTGGAACGGGGCGCCGACGTCAACATTCGAACTGATGTCAAGGGGCTGACGCCGCTGTACGGAGCGACACTTCAATCGAGACCAGAAGTCGTCGAATATCTCCTGAGCAAGGGAGCCGACGTGACTATTCCTTCAAAGGCGCGAAACTGGTCTCCTTTGGAGGGGGCATATGACTATCCGGCCGTCATGGCACATTTGGTCACCAAGGCGTGGCCACCGCCCGACTATCACCGAGTGGCAGAGTTCGGAGACACCCAATGCACAGCGCTTTTCCTCGCAGCGACGTACGGCAAGACGGAAAGTGTCAGGTTGTTGTTGAAGCATGGCGACCCGGACATCGAGTTCACGCCATCCTCGGATATTGAAAAAGAAAAGGCGGATACGAGGGGGTATACTGCTCTAGCTGTTGCCAGTCTATACTCGCACGTGGAAATTGTGAGGCTGTTACTAGAGCACGGGGCCAACGTCAACCATCGGATCCCGGGCACCAGTCTGACACCGCTCCATCTCGCACACAGCGGCGATACACTCGCGGTATTGCTGGAATACGGAGCCGACAAGGAGGCCAAAGACGACAATGGCTACACGCCTCTCTTTTACGCCGTGACGAAGCAAGATTCGAGTCTCACCCGGCGTTTGGTGAACGCTGGCGCCAATTTTAAAGCCACCGATAACTGGGGTCATACCGCTCTGCTAAACGCTCTGATCCACGGCGAGCCGCAGAGCCGTGAAGAGAATTGCAGATACCTCATTTCCAAAGGTGCTCCGATCAACGCAAAGGGCCCAGATAGGTACGGTTCCACCGTGCACAGGTGTTGCAGGTTCGGTGAAGTGGAAGAAGTAGAATTGATCTTGGAGCTGGGCGGTGATGCGGGTCTCTGGTATGGGATGCAGGGCACCCTTCTCGAGGCGGCATGCAATAATGTCAACAAGAATGACTTGGCAGTACTGAGGTACCTAGTCGAGCAAAAGGGGATCGACATCAACGGCCCAGGAAGCTACCTCCGCAGTGCCATGGGAGAGGCGTTCCGGTCTGGCGACGAATCGCTCGTACGGTACCTGCTCGAAAAGGGTGGGAGTTTCGACACCCTAGACGGCAACGGACAGCCGGCGTGGTTCAATATCTGTGCCAGAAAGGACGACGCCCTCGAGATGTTTGACATGCTACTAGACGACTACGGAGCGGACGACTTCTTGGCCTCGTTAGGGGACAAGGACAGAATGTCACGGGGTATCCTGCACTGCGCAGCACACTCGGGGCATCTGGGACTTGTTGAGAGACTTGTCGACCTGGATCCAAATCTAATTGACAGCCGTGACGTCGACGGGTGGCCGGCTCTTCACTGGGCAGCGCCAATGGCCTCCATCGAAGATCTTGGAGACGAAGATGTCCCGCGGAAATGGGCAGAGAAGGCTGAAATCATCAAGTTCCTAGCTCGGAAGAAATGTCCTGGTCTGGCAGAACGTGTGCCCGGTGGCAACGAACGTACGTGGGGCGTACTGGAAATTGCGCAACACCACGGCGCGCCTGAAATTATCGTCGCTGCGTTTAGGGACGTGACGGAGGGAAAACAAGTTCAAGTCGAATCCATCAAAGCGTTGTCCAAGCGCGCTGGAAGATGGATTTGCGATGGTTGCAATACTGTAAGTTTCCCTGTGCCGATATACCACAATATTCGAGCTAACCTAGACGATAAATCCAGCTGATTTGGGGTGCTTTCCTCATTTGCGATGACAATGATTGTTATAAAAACTTTGGGCTTTGCTTCAAGTGCGCGCCTCACAAGGATAAGCTTCATGACCCAAAGCACATCTTCGTCATTGACGAACGAGGGGTCCCAGAATGCCAAACTCTGGTTTGAGTTTATCAAGACCCATCTACGGATCTCTGGATGGAGAGGAACTGGCGAGTATGACGCTTTGGCAAGTGGGGTCTAGAATGAATAGCAGATATGATAGACGTCTGCCGACTTCACAATTCTTTCCATGAGCCCTTTCGCACAATGACAAGAATGAACTAGTAATGAAGCGCATGCAACTCCAGCCGCATCTAATCAGGAACAATACATGTAAGGTATCGTGTGATGTATCCCGTCGAAAGCTGAATGATGGGGATACAAACGTTCCTCATTTTTTTTTCCAACTCTGCTTCTGATATTCTTACTTTATCTCGAGGCTATAAGGAAATAGGAACGGATCAACACATAGTTCGCTGTTACCCTGAATAAGGCGGGTGTCTACGAAGTGACGCCATTCGGTACTAGGTGGGAGGAGGGGAGCATCTGACTATATCTCACAAACCCGCCGCAACGCCTCACGCTTCTAAAGACTCTTACTTAGACACGGCTTCCATCAAATCTCGATATTGGCCCAAGTCACCACGGATGCCATACAGCCGTCTCGGTCCGCTCAGCGATACCCTATTCCTCCCCCCCTTAGAACGCGAACAAGTCACATTCACAGCCACAGGGATTGCATCCATATCCTGAATTAAGTATTCGTATTCAAGCACGTAAACCACAGCCTCTCATGCTTTTTCAAAGGGCTATCTAGTATATCATCCCTCCCACAAGTCTCACATCCCCAATAACGCCGTCAAATGCAACCCAAACGCGCCTACCCATGCCCATTCCCACCTCCCTCTTCCCTCAACGAGGCCTCAAAGACCCTTCCTCAACCCCTCCGTAACCTCCAACAACATCCTCAACCCATAGAACTTGGCCACGCTCCAATACACACTCAGCCTTCTCACAATATCCGCCCTCTTGACACTCTCAACCCACGTCCCGCTGCACGTACAATGCTCCATAAACTCGTTCATCCTCAACGCACCACACTTGCCGCATTTGAGATCTTGCGTAGTCCACTCCACCACAAACGCCTCCACGCTCGCCAACAACGTCTCCTCGATCGCATTCCGATCATACTCGGCCTCGCAAAACGTACACCGCCAAGGCCTCGTCTCCGGTCCCAGCCGCCGCCCGTCGGGCCCAATCTCCGGCAACAGGTCCTCATCGCGGCAGAAGTCGAGGTCGCGCGCCATGGTGCAGCTGTCGCAGCTGAGCTGGATCACCTTCAGGCTCTCACTCGGGTTCTGGAAGGCGCCTTCCTTGCTGAACTCGCGCACGTCGAACATGGCGAGGAGTTCCTTGCGCAGGAGGCGCGCTTCGAGGGTGATGTTCTTGTCGAGGGAGAGGACCTGCATCAGGGACTTTACGAGCTCGAGGACGGCGTTGCGCGAGGACAGGTGGGCAAGGTGCGAGCCGGGGAGCTTGGGGAAGGAGTAGTCTTCCGCGAGCTCCGGGTGGAGCAGCTCGCGCTTCTGTAGGTTGACGAGGTTGGCAATGTCCTTCTTCAGGGGCTTCTCAAAGACTTTGCCTAGGATAATTTGTCCCTGGGCGCCCTCCGCAAGGGCCTTTTGCGGGAGTTGTGTAAGGCGCGGCGTCGAGGAGAAGTCTCCGTCTTGAGGGCGCTTGAGGTTGTGCATGAGTTGGATGAACTCAATGACCCAGTCCTGGAAAGTGGGCTGCAGGCGGATAGGGAGGAATGTCGCCATTTGCCAGTGCATGACGGTGTCGAGAGTCTGCTGCTCTGCCTCCACCACCTCCTGACAGGCTTTGCCGCCGTAGTTGAACTCATCGTACCATACTAGGTAATCCCAATATTCCTTGATCTCAAGGTCGATGAAGTGGAAGAGGGGCTTGCTCTTGATCGACTTGATAATGTACTGACTGTAGGCATACGCGGTACCGACCTCGGCCTTGGTCGTCTGAAGCAAAAGGCGGTTCGAGTTGGCAAAGATGACCTGAGAGCCGACTCGGCGGAAGTCGGCCATGAGCTGTTGGAATGCCTTCTTGGACATCATCTGCACGTAGTAGTGCAGAGCACGGTCATACAGGAAGGAATCAGGATTCTCGACCCAACGGACCAGGTGCTGAACCATGACATCGGCCATGGTGTTGCCCTTGCAGGCCTCCTGCCACCAACTCTTCACCATCTCTCGGAGAACCAGCACACCAGCGTTGGCAAACGTGCCTTCTGACGAGATGACTTCGTCGCCAGCCGCGTTACCATCTCCGGCGGGATTGAAAGAAATAGACTCGGAGCCTTCCAGCTCATTGATAAGAGAGGATGTGAGTATGGTGTTGATGGCTAGGTTTCTGACCTCCAAGTCGATGCAGACCGAGGAGAACGTGCCGGGGTTGTTGATTGAGGGCATCTGGACAGTTTCGAGCGGGCCGATAATGTCATCCTTCTCGTGACCGGCATGGTCGGGACGAGGGCTTGCGGACCACCACAGGACAACATTGTTGTTCTGCAACCTTCTAGCATAGGCAATATCGATGAGGAAGCGCGGGTCCTCTCGCTCGAGATTACAGAGAGGAACCTCTCCGTACCGTGCGAGTGTAGTGAGATGCAAGATCCAGGAGCCAAGACCAAGATAGTGTCCAACAAGCCGTCTTGCAACGACTGCTTGCCAGCCAAGTGGCGGCAGGGAGCTATCCGCAGCATCATACTTAAGCGGCAGTACTGGAAACTCGCCGAGAATCGGAACGTCATTGATGAGCATGTTGCGCTGGGATGATTGGATAACCATCATGAGTGGTCGCAGCTCGTCCTTTCTCATCTTCTTGACGACGTCGCTGAGTTCCAAATGCGCCTTTCGCCTTGTCGTGACCTGGGTGATTTTGAAGTTGAGCTTCTCCTGGTAGGTGAAGCAATCCTGCCAGTTCGTGCCTTCCGCCTCTTCTCCTCGTCGAGCAAGCAGCTCGGTGTAGATCCGGGAGATATTGGGGAGGTCCTGGCCCGAGTCTCTGCCCTTCTGCAGAATGATCACATGTGCCTCGTCCTTCAGTGTAGAAAAGACTCCAAAGATTTGTTTGTCGCCAGCAGTGACGTGAGAGACGTAGATGTATGCCAGGGGTGAAGTTTCAAGATAGGTCTTCGCCTTCAGGGGACGCTTGAGACCACTTAGATCGAAGCCTTGCTCCAGGCCCTTTCCGAGGACTGCATGTTGCTGTTCGTCAATGGTGCAGAGATTACCCAGTTGAAGCACAGCCCGAATATTCAGCGGCAAATGCTTCTCGTACACGCCTTCGACACTGGGGTGGTTGAACAGCAGCGAGAACTTGTCCGCCTCATTGAAGTAGACGTCCTCAGGAACCGTAAGCTTGAAGAGGTGAACGGAAGAGTGACCATTCGGAAGCGTGTGGTTGACCTGCTCGACCTCACAGCCAGGGATATCAACGTCGGGCATTTCGCCACTTCTCAAGTTCAAGAACACCTGTCGCGGGACCTTGATCTTGAGCGAGTGGATCTTTGCATCGATGAGAACGTGAGCGTTGACGATACCAGGAGTTTCCGTCGGCTTGAGATGCAACAGCTGCCAATTGCTCATGTAAGTCATATGGGCTTGCTTCATGAACGTGTTTTGGATGTTATTCTGGTTGTTGCCGCGTCGGTCTCCAAAAAGCTGTCGTCTTCGAATGCGAGCCTGCTTTTGAATCTTCCACTTTTGCTTCTGGTATTGCAAGAAGCCAATGTAGTCGTCTGAGGGGGAGGGCATAACCTTGGGCAGTGCGGCGAAGGGATCAGTGCTCTCAGCAGCTTCGGGAGACTTTCTCTTCTGGGCAGTAGGCTGTGAAGCGGCCACCACAGACGTCACGGGCTTTGGCTTGAGTAGCTGTGTGCCGAAGTCCTCCATGTCGGTTGCGGACCGACCGTTGCGGTTGGTGATGTCTTCCAGTGGCCCCTTGGTGAAAAGGTCGGTGAGCTTCTTCTGCTTCATCTTATCGTCCTTGATGTTGATCCGGCGTTGCAGCCAGTCTGGGTGAGCCACACGAGGAACCGGGTTCCTGACTTTCTGGAGCGCAGCAGGGATGGTGATGAGCTTCTGGATGACGGATCCCAGACGCTCCAGGTAGTAGTCCCAGTCCAACAAAGCTCTCGGGTCGGTGTCCGCAGGTTCCTCCTTGAGCCATTTCTTGAGGTAGAAACGCTTCGTCGTCTCTTCAGCAGAGAAGATGGCAACCGGGATGGCTCGCTCGGTGACGGGCGCGTTCTTGGGTCTGGCGCAGATAATGAACTTGCAATTCAATCCCTTGTCCTTGACCATCTGTTCACCCAAGAAGTCTGCCAAACGCTTCGCCGTGGTGATTGAAGTTGACTTTTGCGAACCGTACTCCTCCAAGGTCTTGGACATGCTTCTGTTCTCCGAAATAAGCTCCATGAGTTCCTCGTCCGCTAGCGTTGCACCCTTGCTGTGCAATACATCAAGCCATTGGTTGGCAACCTTGGCAACGGCAGCATAGCACTCGGCAAGAGTTTCTCCTTCAAGAAAAAACTTGAAGATTTGCTGCTGGAAGATCTTGATGAGCTTCAGCTCACCTCTGCGCTTCACTTCGAAACCCTTCAACTCGGCCAAACTGCCGTCGTCGTTGAAGACTGCATAACGCTTCTTCAAATTCTTGTCCTCCTCCTTGGAAGTGGGCAAGACCATGGCCTTGTAAGGGCCGTCGACTTCGAAGAAGATGGAGTTGTCGCTGTGCGTCTCGTACTTGAGAGTCTTGGGGTCTGTGAGCGTCTGGTACTGGTGGTTGGTGAACTTTGCGTGAACCAAATGGTTCAACATGGTACAGGGGTACGAGATGGTGACCTTCTTGCCTCCCTTGGTCTTGAAGGCGAAGTTTTCCGGGAACGTGGCGGGAAGCATACACCAGATACCGTCCGTATCCAATTCTAAGGGACGACCCAATCGCTCAACGAGCGACCTGGCCAGCTGAATAATTGTCGCTCCCGTCAGACACGTAACACCAGCCATTTCCATGGAATACCATCTGGATCCCTTTCTCATGACATAACCATAGAAGGAATTCAAAATGACCTTGTGAGCAAGCTGCAGCGAGTCGAAGAGAATAATCATCTTCTTAGCCGCATCAACTTCGCTGGAGGTTGCGCCAGAGGACTTCAGGGCTTCCGTTTTGCCCTTCCAGACCTTGGCTTTACCCTTGTAATCGTATCGACGATCACGGAAGTCTCGTACGGTGTTGATGTAGAACGGATTCTCTCGCTGGCAGATGATGGCCTCCTTGACAGTCGTTGTCGAGTCGTGGATCTTGTGGTAAACCTTTTGCGAAAAGATCTGCAACCGCTTCCGCAGGAGAGCAGTCTGCTCGTCGGGAGACAAATCCTGAAACGTCCTCTGAGGCGAATTCGGCCACTTGCCGGGGAACTTTTCATTCTCCAGAGCATTTCTGATCATGTTGTACTCGTCCCGCTTTGCCGGCAAGTACTCTCCTCTCCACGCCCACGGCATACGTCTATCGCACGTCTTGCCTGGGCGGTTGAAGTCGCATGCCGCACAGTCCGACTCTTGGATCATGGAGTCCGGTTGCAGACGGTTCGTCGTCATGATATTGGGGTACATGGACGCAACGTCGAGATGGTAGATTAGGGGTCGCTCGCTGCGGTTCGGTGTCTCCTTCAATGCGCGCAACCGAGAAGCGATTTGCTCCCTGATCTCGTCATAGTTTTCAATATCGTCCATGGACTTCTTTTCCTCCACCGTAATACTGAATTTCAGCGCGGCGTCCAAATCATTCAACAGCTCATCAACTGCACCCGTGTCAACCGCAAAATTAACGGGAATATCCGCGCGGAAGACACCTGCTTCAATACTTTCGACGTGGCCACCGACATACGTCTCTGAGTCAAGCAAGTGTCCTTCGTAGAACGCTTCTCTTGGCGACACATGCTTGTTTGGTAACACAATCTCTTGTTGGTAGGCCTGCACCATCAACAACATCTCGCAAAGGGTACCGGTACCCTTTCGCAACGTGTCGTCACCACCAAGCGGCAGAATCGTGCATAGAGAGAAAATGAAGGGATGGACGTATTTCATGTACAGGTAGTACGTCGCCACAGCATCGGAAACTGAGTACTCGGCCAGGGTCTGGGGGCGTTCCTGGGCATATGGCGTCATGAGTTCGGGGTCGAGCTCGTCGGGGTCGTAACCGAGCTTGGCGACGGTGACGGCTTTCAGACCTCGGGATCCCTGAGGCAGGTAGGAGTCACGATTCACCCAGTGGAAACAATCCATGTGCACGCTGTAGCTGCACTTGTACTGGTCCTCGCTGTCCTTCTTCCAACCAATCTCCTGGTACATGTCGATGCCGTTGATGCTAGCTCGGGCGTCCACAAAGGGCCAATCGAAAAAGTCACCGTTGTACGTCGCAATGACTGTCGGTCTCGCCTCCTTGATGTGTAGGAAGAACCTCTCCAGCACGGCCTTCTCATCCGGTTCGTTGAAAATCATAAAGGGTCCTGGGTATTCCGGCTTGGGGGTGTAGTCAAAGTCGCCAATGTCCTCGGAGATGATTTCTCTGTTCGTGATCAGGAAACCCTGCCCGTCAATCATGTACGAAATCATCATGACCTGGTCGATGGCGGCGTCGGGGAATTTGAGGGGCAGTTTCGTCGTCTCGATATCGTAGGCCATGACTACCGGGTCTGCCATGGCCAGGCGGTCCTCATTGGTTGTGATTTTTGTGACGCCGTGCTTAACGTCGATGAAGTACCATTTTCCTACCCGAATATCTGCAATCAGGACTGGTTAGTCGTGGCCGGTTCCGAGCTCCGAAGGACCCAAACCTACCCATATCTATCATTACTCTTACATGGTACGGCACGTCGTACTCTCTAATATCGACAATGAAGTCGCTGGCGTCGGCAAAAGAAGCATTCGTTCGTCTATCGTCATCTCGTGAATCGTCAAAAAGGTCAAAGTCGCCATTCATCCTGCAGGCATGTCAGTCAACCCACTTCATAAACCCCAGAACACCGCAACGACTTACGTTGAAACCTCGGCATATGCGTCCAAAGCATCCACATTCTTCCTGTTCTTCGCCGCAATAGGCATGATATCCTTCCTCGCCGCCATCAAATCCGCCACATTCGTAAACCTCAGCTCCAGAAACGTGCGGCGGTACCCTAGCAGATGATTCGGCATCTTCAAATCCTCCTTGTCCACCCTCTTAATCGTCTTGACGACGCCGTCGCCAGGCACGCGCTTCAGCCACTCCTCGACCTCGCTCTCGCGGCCCTTCTTCACGGCAATCAAAAAGTAGGGGTCGTACTCGACCGTCGCCTTGAAGTGCGCGCCGTCGTCCTCGATAAAGTAACAGTCGAGCGCCGCCCGCCCGTTGGGGTTCCGGTCGTCCTCGACCGAGGTGGGCTGCACGTTGACGAGCCAGCCCTCCTTGCGCTTGCCGCCCTCGTAGCGGGCGAAACCCATATTCTCGTCGATTTGGTGCGCCAGCCGGGTGCGCTCCCACTTCTCGTCGGCCGAGGTGGCCTCGTTGCGGCCCGAGGCGGCGAAGGTGCGTGTCGTTCGTGAGGGGCCGTGGTAGGCTTGCTTGCCGCCGCGGCGGTAGCCCTTTTGCGGGCGCCGTAGGCTCGTGTTGGGCATTGTGGGCGGCTGTTATGTGGTTGAGGTTTCGGTAGGAAGGGGAGAGATCTCGAGGGATCTTGTTGATCGGTGTAGATCTCCGTCGAGGGACTCTAGGTAAAGGAGGTCTCTCGAGGAAATCGCAGCCTCTATGGAGTCATGAGACAAGACCACAGAGACAAACGGCTAGGTTCGTAGCAGTGGGGAAGACTTGACAATGAGGGACTGGTGGTGGGTATCAAGAAGGCTCTCTCTCTCTCTCCGTCTCTGTCAAGACCAATAAACAAAGGCAAGTCTGTCTCGGTGACGAAAAAAACCAAGAACAACCGAGAGAAAACGGGGTATTGACGATCCTAAGAATAGGAATTGGACGAGTGGGAGAGTGGGATTTGTCACTCTAGTATTCAAGAACGAAAGGCATTGAGCTTTTGCGCATTGAGGACGGGAGTGGAGGGCCACTATCCAATTACTCGTTGTCCAGGGCACAAAAAGGATGGTGCCAAAGACGCGTCGTCCCCGTCGCGACTTTACGCGAAATCTGCACGTTCTGCAGGCCAGAACAGGAGACCGGGGGACCCACTTCAATTAAGCCCAACATCCCGCGCGACAGCTGCGCAGCGCCTGTGCAGCGCACACTCAGTCTGCAGGGGGAACTTAAACGCAGAGGCACGGACCATGGACACCGGCCCAGCAACGAACCGTCGACGGGGGGGAGTGGAGGTCCAAATTCGGTGGACGTCATCTCAGGCCACGGGCAGACTTTGAGAGCTTCACCGGGGGACCGAAAATCAAGCGTCGGGATTCACAAGAACCAGCATCGGATGCGCTCGATCTCATTCACACTAGACGCATATAAAAGCTAGACCTTCGCACGTAATGGCAGACTCACCAAACATCCCGGGCCCCAAGAAAGAAGGCCAGAAGCTGTACCTCTGGTCCCGTTCAAGCCAAGGCCCCGTCGGGGAGGGAGCTCCGGGTTCAACAACACCTACGACGGCATCACCAACATCACCATCACCGGAGCAGGCGTCCGACCCTAAGCTCGACCCGACCGACTTCCAGAAGAACTTCCCGACGCAGGACGGTGCCGCCGCGCCGGGGTACCCGTCTATCGGCGAGGCCGTCAAGACCATCAAGTCGGACGACTTCCTCTCCGTCACGCAGACGCCTTGCGCGCGGGACGGGTTTCTCACCGGTATCGCCAGCGGTGCTGGTGTTGGAGGATTCAGATATGTCTTCGGAGGTAGATCTCCCCTGATTATTCCTATTTTACCTTGTCTGAATTTGGGAATCCCCCTCTCACATCATCTCACCTTCACACTCACACTCACACTCGCACTTACATTTCCTCCCCTTTTCCTACGCTGTACTCATCCTCATCCATACCAAAAGCCAGCCGCTAAAACTCTCGACCAGGCTCACCCATCAAGGCGGCAAACTGGGCCGTAGGCAGCTTCCTCGTCGGCTGCATCGGCTCCTACGAGTACTGCCAGATGAAGCGGCGGCAGGAGCGCGTCAAGATGAAGCGCACCGTCGAGGTCTACCAGGAGACCATGATCGACAAGCGCCGCCGCGAGATCGAGCAGCTCAAGCAGCAGGCCGAGCAGAAAAAGGCAGAGGAGGAGGCCAAGGCCGCCGGCCAGAAGTCTTGGTACAAGTTCTGGTGAAAGGAACTCGTTCGTGGTGTAGAGGAAGAAAGGTTGGCATCTCCAAAGGGATCTTTTGCCGAGCCACGCCTTGTATGAATAGCATTCCGCAAAGGGCGAAAGAGAAGGGCATCTGCGAGTGGCTTTGGCCCGCGATGCACTTGTGTTGAAATAACTGTATCATCATCCATTCGATTTGGGGGTATAAAAGAAAGACTATTTGTATCATTCCATCCATTCTTCCTTGTTCCCCTGTTTCCTATAATTCCTGTCGCAGTCTTTGCTGCGTGATGTGAAGGGGATATCGTGCTGGCCATCATCCAAGTGATGAACCGCAATCCAGAAAAAAGTCCATTCGTAAATAGACGCACCCATATGGTTCATAAACGCCCCTTACCCCTAACGCCATACGAAGCCTTTCGTGGCCATTCCTTCAGCCTAGGCCATACCAAAGCCAAACGACAAGGCCCAATACTACCAGGCCTCATCGCAGAAAAATTTCGCTGCTTGCATCCATTTTGCGATTGTTCTTAGACGTTCGTCACGACTGTGCTGGCTTCCGATTCGGTGAAGCGCACCTTTCGCACGCCGCCGCTGCTGCCACCAGCAGAAGGCTTGGAAGGAAGACCAGCACCGCTCCCTCGTCTCCGCTGACTTCTTCTAGCCCTCGCCTCGCTCTCTTCCCTCTTCTTGTACTCGGCCAGCTGCAGGCGGCGCTTCTGCGTCCGTGCATATGCCATCGCGGCTGTAGGCATGAACCCGACACCATTGATGCCTGTGCCGTCGTCGTCCTTGTCTTCTGGATCGTAAATCGTAATCTCCTCCTCCTTCCAGGTAAGCGCAGCCCTGACTGGGTCGACAATCGTCTTCATCTCCTGGTCTTCTTGTTGTTGTTGCGGCCCAGCAGCGGCAGAGGCTGTGTCGGCAGGGTTGGTCTTGTTGGTCCCCTTGCGGCCCTTGAGCGGTGGTGTGCCCGCGCGTCTCCGTCCTCGGGCTTTTGGATCTTGTAGTTTGTCGAAGGAAGGATGCGAGCGCGTTTGTTGTGTGCTCGTGAGTAGTGTTGTGGCGGTAGCAGTGGGAGCGTCTCCTTCTGTGAATTTCGATTTCGGGATAGACACCGGATCGCTCTTGACATCGGGGTCCGGAATGACGACCAGTGCGTCTGCAGCAGTGCTAGCAGTAGTGCTAGCGACGGCAGTGTTGTCGCCCTCAACGTCCGTCATCTCCAGCTCAGGAACCTTGACTCTCTTGCGGCTCGCAAACGGGTCGTCGTCAGAATATCCGTACCCGCTGCCGTCCTTGTGCTCGTCGCGGGTCGGATCATATGCGGCGCTGCCGGGTCCAGCAGCAGCAGCTCGGTTCTGTTGCTGGGCTACCCCGCCCCCACCACTATTCCCACCTAACGCCAGACCACGGAACTTGTGGACGACCTTGCTGTGCGGGCTTGCGCTGCCGTCTTCTGCGTCGCTGCTCTTGGGGTGGTCGGCAGGCAGCTGGAAGTTGAATCTGGAGGTTGTGTATATCGGCGACACCGGCGGGGCATCCTCGTCTCTCTTGCGCTTCGGCGTCGTCGTCGGGGTTGGGAAGGGTTCAGCCATAATGCTGTGCAGTATGTGGTAAGGTATATTGCGCAGGTAGCGCCGCACTCAAGGCGATTGATGGTGTGGGCTGATTTAGGGAGGTATCTGACTCGTTCGGGATATTGTTGGCAAATAGGAATGAGTCGGACGATGCAATAAGGCGAAGGACCGTAATTGTCGGTTGGTAGAATGTTGTCTCGGTTAGGTAAGTTGAAGCTTGTAAGCTTTTGATTCTCGAGGATATTGGGTATCGTGAATCAGTGGCGGTCAAGAAGCGTAAGTTATCTAGGTAAGGAAGGTACGGTGAGGTAGTTGTTGAAGAGAAAGGCTCTAACTTGGTCAAGTGATTGAATATTTTTAGTCTTGGGAGGCAGATCCGGCAGTTACCCTTTGGATCTGGGCTGGTCCTTCCTTTCCCGAGTACAAAGTCGCAAAATGCCCACCAAATGACCGTTACGTGGGCGCGATAAGCTCAACACACCCACGCTAAAACAAAGCTAGAGCCCCTCGGTGAGCAGCGTACGCCGTGTACGCCATGTACACCGTGGGAACCTCTCTCGTCTTCATCCCATGTTTTGTGAGCCCCCCCCCCCCAGCTTCATCAGAAGATTCAGCCAAATCGGGATACTTCCATCCTATACGGACGTTAATGGCTGACATGTATCCGTATTCCCCGGCTCTCAAAGCTTGAAGCGCTGTCCAGGAATACCGCAGCCGGATGCAGTCTCTGCCTTGGGAGGTTATCACGAGAAATGCTGACCGACTTGTGAATCCAAAAGCCAAGTTAAATCAGTTACCAGATTTTTTAACTAAGAAGCAAATTCATTATCCAATCTAGATACTCATTGATATCGTCATATCCACCCCTCAGTACCAATAACTTCCAAAGTCTCTCTACTCGCTCCAAGCCTTGTACACAATCCTCGTGCCATACGTCTCCCCCTTCTTCAATAACATCTGGCCCTTCCACTCATCCACATTAACCGCATTCACCCACCGACTCGGCTCGACACAGAACCCGCTCCTCTTGCCCCGCGCCGCAACCCCTCCCACGGCGGGCACATCGATCCCCTCGCCCGTGTAAAACTGGAACGCCGGCTCCGTGCTGAGAACCTCGAGGTTGACCCCGTTCTTGGGGTGCTTCGCGTGCACGTGCAGCTTCAGCGGCGCTTGGCGGGTATCGATCGGCACCGCGCCAGCCTCCTTCTCCTCGACGACGACAAAGCAGTCGTCCACCGCGGGGGCCTCGACGCCGAGCTCAAACGGCTTACCGCCCTCGATGCCCGGGAAGGGCGCCGGCCCACCGGTGGGAATACCGTCCTCGCGGGGAAGGTACGCGTTCGTCGCCAGCGTCGCGACGGTGCCAGCAAAGGTCTCGTCGCCCGTGAGATTAAAGTACGAGTGGTTCGTCATGTTGATAGCCGTCTCCTCGGCGCCGTCGACGAGCTGCGCCTCGTACTCCATGCCCAGCACCGAGACCTCCTTGCCGTCCACCTGCTGCGTGCCGGCCGTGTAGATGACCTTTACCTGAACCTTTCCGGGGAACCCTTCGTCGCCGTCCTCGCTGGTGAGCGAGAACTGGACGCTCTCGCCACCCTGGAGACCCTCGACGCCCGGGATCGCGCGGACGCCGACGGGCTTGGGACCCTCCCAGACCTTGGAGCTCCAGGGCTTGGCGCCGCCGTGCAGGTTATTGTTGCCGTCGTTGGCGGCGAGCTTGTACGTCTTGCCCCCGTTGAGGGACTTGATCTGCGCCGAGGCGAGGCGGTTCGCGACACGGCCGACGGTGACGCCAAAGTAAGGCGAGTTGTGCTTCTCGTAGAGGTCCTGGGTCGGGAAGCCTTGGACAATGTTGACGCCCTTGACCTTGAAGGACTGCAGGATGGCGCCCAGGGGCAGGAACTCGAAGGTAGCGTCCGACATTGTGCGAAAGGTATGTGTGGCCTTTTGGGGAAACGGGCTTGGTGATGGGGACAGGTAAGGTAGTCGATCGAAGTGTTGAATCACGGAATTGTCAGTCCAAAGTGAAAGAGGGCTACGACAGAGGCCTGGAATCACGCAGAGCTGTATTTTTGGGCAAGGGGACAGCAACCCTTTATGGAGTGCGACCAAGAGTCCCGTCACTGGTTGACATGGCGAAACATGCAATTCAGGCTATTATTGCTTGTATCTGCGCTTGTTGGCCGATGTAGCGGGGTGTTTGGACGAGGATGGCCGATGGAGGAGGGGGTGGAAACAGTTGAAGAGAAATGACGGCGTCTGCGGGGACGCACGCCCGCGGCGGGGTAAATTGGAGACACAAAAGACGTCCAGTATTCGTACGGACCACCTGGCGGGGAAGCTTTCCCCTCTGTTTGGCCGGTGCTCTCACTCCTCAACACCGAACCAGGAGGTTCCTAGCCCCATTTCGAGCGGCCATGCTGTCGTCTAACTGGTGCGTCTAAAACAACACGAGCAGCTTTGCGCCTTGTCTTCGCGTCTCCGGCTTTTTGGGGAAATGGATGGATCCAAAGCTGCCAAGTTCCCAGACGACCAGAGGGATGCTGGCGGATGGCGGATACACACGACAGTCAACTTGAGAGGCCCGCTTGAGCTGGGTAAGAAACTAAGACTCAGGTGAGAGTTTGCTCCATCCGCGAGCTGTGAGTGGATGTACAAGTTGTCAATTGTCCCGAATTTCTGAGAAACCCACCGTGGTCCGAAAATTAGTGCATTAAGATCGTGTACAACCTTTTGGTGACCCCTTGTCCTCTTCGGGCGACACTCCGCGATGTAGCGCCACCAAAAAACCAGAGGCCTCATGCTTCCAAGCTACATATGATACAATGAGCAACAATCACACTCATATGCATGATGGACCGCCAACACATAATACAATGTCCCATCCCAATATTCGTTACATCAATCCGATTCTTCGTCGTCGTCGCCGAGGAACGCCAGGTCCGCTCGCGCCTTGCCTCGTGCACGCGACGGGACGTGTGACTCTTGGTCCTCGTCATCTTCGTCTTCTTCATTGTCTTTGACGTTCTCGTCGTCAGAAACATCATCCTTCACAGCCTTTTTGGGGGTTGGTTGGCCACGCGCCTTGCTTCGAGACGATCTGCCTTCTGCGCCCCAATTAGCATTCATCTCCTGAACTGCTTCCAAGTCCGCCTCCAATTCTCTGCGCTCCTTGATCTCTTTTGCCTTTGCTTCTGAAAAGCGACCATCCATTCCAATGTCTTTGAGCATGCCTCTGAGGTGCCTAATCTTGGCCTTGGTATCGTCTCCGTATTGCTTCAACTCGAAGCCCCAGATTTTGCGAATACCACACTTGACCAGATGAGATTGTAGCTTTTTGATTTCCGCATCGTCAGGGTTCTCTGAGGCTGCCGGTGCCTTCTTCTGCTTGGTGGCCTTAGCCTTGGTCTTGGGGCCCGCTCCAGCTTCCTTTTTCTTGCGTTTCGGCTTGGGTGGCTCGTCTATCACGTCCGATAGCTCGCTGGTCGTGTCGTCTGCTGGCGCCTCGCCCTTCTTCTCGTCTGAAGCTTCGGGGTGCTTCTCGATTGACTCCTCATCCTTTTTTGCCTCGACCTTCTTCTCTTGTGACTTTTCCTCCTTGTTCTCGACCTTGTCGTCCTCGCTGTCAGGTGGGGAGCTCAAGGCATCTGAACCACTCTCTTCAGCCTTGCCCGCACGTCCGTTGGTGGGTTTAGACGCCTTCGGCTTGGCAGGGCTCGCTTCGTCAGAATCAGAGTCGATCACAGGAGTTTCCTCCTTCTTCTTGCGCGGGGCTGCTTTCTTCTTCGGCTTCGCCTTTGGCTTCTCCTCCTCGGAGGCGCTCGCCTCGGATTCTTCTACTTTGGCAGAGGCGCGCTTTCTGCGCTTAGCAGGCGGTGATTCATCGGCTGCTTGACGCTTGCCAGACTTCTTTGGCTTCGCATCTTCTTCATCTTCGTTAGGTTCGACTTCTTCATCGGGGTCTGCGTTGCCCTCCACGAGGTCGGTCTAGTATGATGTCAGAAAGACAAACTCCGACACTGTTGGCGGTGCTCGTGCCTATGCCAGTGCCAGGGAGGGGCTAGGTAATTACAGCGAGTTCCTTGATGAGCTTTTTGCTCTTCTCCTTCCATTTTCCTGAAGAGAGCATTTCATCTTCGAGCTTGAGATCTGATTCGACGCGCCTTCGGATGGAGTTCACGTTGAGGTTATCGATATCCGTCTTGAAGACCTCGCGGACTTTGGCGAGGATCGTCGCCTCGATCTCCTTGTCTGAAGGGGCCATGCTTGTAAGATTGGCCGGGATGAATGGAGTCAATGGTGCAATTGAACGTTGATGCCGTCGATAAGGAAATTTACAGCTTCACTGGACATTTGGCGCGGAATGGGGTAGAATGCAGGAGCTTCGGGGCTCTGTCGCGCAGGAAGTCGCGTCGAGGGACGGTGTCTGAGCGCAGCAGGTGGACGGCGACGCGGGCAGGCGCAGATCAAGCGCAACCGGGGTAAGCTGCAACTGATTCGACCGGAGTGGGGCGGCAGTCATCCGACGTCAATATCGGGTCTGGTCCGAGCTTTTTACATAGAAGGCAGGATGCAACGGCGCCGGGAGGAAGGAGAGATGGCAGTATTGTGCGCGTGTTCGAATCAGCCATTCCTTTCTTGATAGGTACAACGCGACTATCAATCATGATAAAGTAAGGCTGCTACCTTTACAGTTCTCCTAAATATCACTCGCCGGCCAGGAACAATGACGTATTGTCGAAAGTGGGCTTACTTGATGTGATTTGCGACATTGTGTAGTTATGTAAATAATAAGTGCTGAGGTTTAGTCTCGAAAGCAGCTTGATTATTTAGTACAAGGTGGCCGACGAAAGCTCGGTGAGTGAATGTGAGAAAGGTATGGAGTCCCTCAATGCTGCCGTTTGTTTTTTTGTCCATGATATATCTCTCGATCATTTGAAAGTGTGCAAATTCGGGTCTGAAATGATTGTAAGCCGGTTCATGGTGGGCGGGCCGAGGAATAACACCGCAGTCAACCTCGCAAACTTGAATTTGCGGGTGTCAGGACATTTTGGTCCGAAAGTTATGGGGCCGTCGATGTCAGTCCGTGGTAGCCAAACAGGGAGCCTGGTCGACCTTGTGGGTTGGATGATTGGGCTAGATCGTTCTCTAAGTACCTAGCGTATGTCATTGGGTACGAAATGGTCGAAATGCCCAGCAATCGGGGCCGAAGCTCCTGCACAACTACAATGACAGAGGGTAAGCATGTTGATGATGATGCTGGATAATATTTGATACTAGGATGGTGACAGCACGTTTACGTTGCGGGACCGATCACCACTTAATATGTACCCAGCTATAAATGCGAAGCCCCACTAGCTTTGAAAGCCTCGGGATTTAGCGAAAAGATGCAAGGTACTCTTCTCTCCAAAGAGTAAAGAGGCAGCTGGAGAAGCGCAGTTGAGGGGGGAAGAAGGGCTCTTGTGTGGCAGCGACAAGCTCACATTGTCGCCAGGAAGCCAGCTGAAGCCTGGAGGCTCGATTTGCAGGAAAGACCGGATGTCATTACGATGGGTGGATGCAGGGAAATTTTCAAGAGACATCGTGAACATTCTCTCCTCTACCGCCGATAAAGTACCCACATCTCGGCGCCGGATTCTCCACCATCTGGCGGAAGGTGCCCAGGTCTCATGTACATCTACTTGACATCTCAAGCTCTGGATGTCTTTTGGGCTCGTCCTGCGAGAGGAACGGATGGCAGAAGACGCAGGTGAGATAGATTCGGCTGGACGGACCTGTTGGAAAAATATCGCTCATATTGCCTCTCAGCCGGATTGTCTATCTGCCCGGGCCAGAAAGACAGTGCTAGGCGAGACGGCCTGTACATAGGTAGAGAGAGGTTGGAGGGGTGGCAGAGAAAAGAGTGACAGGGCCGGGAATTCCTCGCAGTGATTTGACAAGGATCTCTACCCAAAATTACGTAGATGGCACCGCAGCAGGTATCTGTACGAAGTACCAGCAGCGCCCAAAATCAAACACCATCCTCTGTACAGGACCTTGCTCTCTGAGTAGGCATGCTCCGGCTTTGACCTCACCTCAGTTTAACAGGTCATTAGATGCTGACCTTGGGTAGCCATGTTTCGTCTGCCGCGTTTGGTGCTCTTCTCTTATCTTGAAATGTTGCCAACCGAATAAGACCAAACATGTAGACTAAGAAAGGCGTCAAATCCATTCGTACTGTTCTCCATTGCCTTTACCCAGAGTGCCCCACAAACCAAGTATCTCTACTTCTGGGGAAACGCAAGCTCTGCCTTACAGTAGTGCGCCAGTGTTGCATCAGGTCGAGCTTTCTCCGTTGTGCAGCTGCTGCCCGTCTAGTTTGGATTGCACTGAACCGGATTGGCACTTTCTTGCTTCTTCTCAACACCCTCTCATCTGCCCTCTCACCCGCCAGGACCTCACTCAGTCAACAAACGCAACCTGACAAGCCAACCACTGACTAGCCGCCGTCTTCCTTCTCTTTCCACCTCACCCTATCTTCACGCACCTGAGGTTCTCTTCTCTCTCCATCCACCCAGACCAAGCTTGTCCTACATTGCACTGCTTGTTTTTGTGCATTACGTTTCCACGTAGCTTGCGTCCGACAGCCCAGCTTCTTCCAATACCGCTGCATCCTTACCGTCCCGTCAACATACCTTATACATACACTAGTCGCCGTCGCCCTTGTTTGAAGCTTTTCTGCGAACCACGACTCACTCCCACCTCTCTCGGCAACTCAAGAAGCTTACGACTTTTGCGACGGAGCTGTGTCCAGCACCAATCTGCCCATTTCGATCTCCCTCAGAGAATCAAATAAACACCAGCCCACCCCTGTGTGCTTTTTCCGTCGCCGTCACTTGAGTTTTGGGTACTTGATCTTCCTGGAATTTACCCCTCCATCATCCCCGCAAGCTCATCCCAGCCAGTCTCAGCTAACACCTTACCCTGCCGCCACAGGACACCCCAGCATACCTTAGCTACTGCTGTTCCCTAATTACCTGCCACCCATCGAACGAACCCTCCACGAAATCTTTCGCACCACCATCTTCCACCGTTCAGCACCAAGCAAATCGCCCAAGATGCCTTCGCTCGTCCCCGACGAAGAGACTGCGCCTGGTCGCCTACTACTGCTCTCCAACCGACTGCCTATCACTATCAAGCGTTCTGACGATGGCAGTTACTCCTTCTCCATGTCCTCTGGTGGTCTCGTCACTGGCCTCAGTGGTCTGTCAAAAACCACCAGCTTTCAATGGTACGGATGGCCAGGCCTCGAAGTTCCCGAGAACGAGATTGCCGGCATGAAGCAGCGTCTCAAGGACGAATACGATGCTCATCCTGTCTTCATTGACGACGAGCTCGCCGACAAGCACTACAACGGCTTCTCTAGTATGGACGACCCTCCCTTGCCTCTATATTTCCTAGCTTGACTAACAACCAAACCTTTTTCGCAGACTCTATTCTCTGGCCGCTTTTCCACTACCACCCCGGCGAAATCACATTTGACGAGAGCGCATGGGCCGCTTACCGCGAAGTCAACCGCCTGTTTGCCAAGGCTGTCGTCCAGGACGTTCAGGATGGCGATCTGATCTGGGTTCACGACTACCATCTGATGTTGCTGCCTGAGATGCTTCGCGAGGAAATCGGCGACTCCAAGAAGAACGTCAAGATTGGCTTCTTCCTGCACACGCCTTTCCCTTCTTCTGAAATTTACCGCATCCTTCCCGTTCGCGAAGCCCTCCTGACGGGCGTCCTCGACTGCGATCTCATCGGATTCCACACCTACGACTACGCTCGTCACTTCTTGAGCAGTTGCTCTCGCATTCTGTAAGACGCAATCGAAAAGCGAAAGCTTGTTCTCTTAGACACAAACTGACGTCACATGTAGTGGAACTCCTACGACCCCCAATGGTGTTGATTACAATGGCAAATTCGTCACCGTTGGCGCATTCCCCATCGGTATTGATCCTGAGAAGTTCGTCGAAGGCCTCAAGAAACCCAAGGTCCAGGAGCGCATTGACGCTCTTACGCGCAAGTTCAACGGAGTGAAACTCATTGTCGGTGTCGATCGCCTCGACTACATCAAGGGTGTCCCTCAGAAGCTCCACGCATTGGAGGTCTTCTTGACAGAACACCCCGAGTGGATCGGCAAAATTGTGCTGGTTCAGGTCGCCGTGCCTTCAAGGCAGGACGTTGAGGAGTATCAGAATCTGCGTGCCGTGGTCAATGAGCTTGTCGGCCGTATCAACGGCAAGTTTGGCACCATCGAGTTCATGCCCATTCACTTCCTCCACCAGAGCGTCTCCTTTGACGAGCTCACAGCTCTGTACGCCGTTTCCGACGTCTGCCTTGTTTCCTCCACACGCGATGGCATGAACCTGGTCTCGTACGAGTATATCGCTACTCAGCGCGAGCGTCACGGTGTCATGATTCTGTCCGAGTTCACCGGCGCCGCCCAGTCCCTCAATGGCTCTCTCATCGTCAACCCATGGAACACTGAAGAGCTAGCAAACGCCATCCACGATGCCGTGACCATGTCCCCGGAGCAGCGCGAGACCAACTACAAGAAGCTCGAGCGCTACGTTTTCAAGTACACGTCATCCTGGTGGGGACAGTCCTTCGTCGCCGAGATGACTCGCCTCTCCCAGGAGGCGACGCAGTCCAAGACGTTGAAGAACATTGGCGGCAACGTGGTTGGTCAGGTCACCAAGGCGATTCAGGGCGCCGTCGATAGCGTCACCGGTAGCAAGGATGGCGCGGAAGATGCAAAGGAGACGAAGGCGGTAAAGCAAGAAGCATAACGGCCAATTGTACATCCAACAAAACTTGCAAACCAGGTTATTTACTTTTCCACTGGACAAGAGGCCGCCTGACCCATTTTAACGAAAGCATGATTGAAAGAGAGAAAAGAGGAAGACCTTGCCCTTTTCGGGCAAATTTTAGCTGGGCGAGGAAGCATACATGATCGGGAACAATGGCATCGAGCCGAGCGGAGTTTTTTAGGGGCTTTTTTTGTCATATGGTTTTGTTTCATTCCTGATGGTGGAGAGGGCAATATGGATGGACGGGTCACATTGAGAGGGAAATGTGTCGTACAAGAGGTCTTTCCAATGCATTTGTTTTGATTTGATTTCTCTAGGGGGCATGACCGTAATAGACTATCTACTACCTACTTGTTTCACGAGAGCTGTGGACCATTGCAAACCAGCCCACTATGTGAACGACCAAACGCACAGTATCAAAGGCAAGCAACGAGGAGCAATCAGAGTTCATGTGAATTCAGAGTTGTATGAATTTGAGAAAACCCGGCTAATTTCGCATTTGCCTGAACAAGAAATGCAGTGAGGAACAAACCACCAAAGCTTGCTCACTCGCGGAGCTCTTCAAAAGGTATCTAGAAAAGTACCCCTTCTTCTCGTCATGGTGAAATGTCAAGAGAGAGAGGAGGCAACGAAGTGAAAAAGCAAGCAAGAGTGAAGATACCTGGCGGCACAGAGCAAGAAGAAGAAGAAATAATAGAAAAGAGGTAAACGTGTTGTGCCGTAAGTCCGTCCCGTAAAGCCCCCGTCATCCTCCCTCATCACACACCCGTCCCTTTGCGCTACGCAAATTCAGCGTACTCTCAACCTTGGAAACGCCATCGTGGGGATCAAATAGTCCAACATGAACGCATCACACATAACACACAAAGAAGACCACTCTCTCACCTAACTCAGTACGGCGACGCGACGATATCCTCCTTGCCCAACTTGTACCGACCGCTCTTGGGCGTCGTGATCCGTCCAGAATCCCTGCGGCCCATGCTGAGCTGTGCAAAGTTGCCAGCGATGCTCTCGCGAGTAGGGCGCTTGAGACCCTGCTTGCCGACCATGTTGACCTCGTTGGGGAGGGCGACGATGACGTTCTTGTCCGTTCCGAACTTGAAGTCGTCAGCCTTGACCTCTTCGGCGTAGCGCTTGATGCGGTAGGCGGCCTTGGCTCCGCGCAGGACCTTCTTCAGGCTCCACTCCACAATGTACGGGCCGGTGGCGGTGATGATGCTCGTCTCCTCGACGCCCTCGCCGGCGTTGAAGCGCGCAGGTGTGAATGACACAGGCTTGCCGGTCTCGTGGGCGAACTGGGCAACGTGCTCGGGTGTCAGAGCCAGGCGGCGAGGTTGAGGCTTGTCGGAAGCCGCGAAAGACTTTTCGAAACCAAGCTTGCCCTCGTTCTTGCCAGACTTTTGCATCGCGTCGATGAGCAGGATGTACGTTCGGCAGGTGGCGAGGACCCAGCGACCGTCGGCGGATGTGTCGAGACCGAGAATGGCTTCACCGAGAGCGGGGATGTGGGTTTTGGCGTTGATTCCTAGGCGATCGAAGAGGCGTACATCGCCCTTGTTGGAAGCGACGGCGATGTATCCCTTCTCCGTAGTAGAGATAGCCGAGAAGTCGTTCTTGGAAACGTACTGCTTCAGCTGAGAATCAACCAGCTTGGTGCCGGATAAACGGGGGTCGACGCGGTAGAGGGCATTTTTCGAGATACCAAGGAAGGTCGGCTCGTGAGTCATCTGGGCAAACTTGTTCTCGGGAGCAAAGTTGAGAACAGGAATGTCCTCATGAACATTCCACTCGTCAACGACCTTGCCGTACTCGAGATCCATACGATACAGCTTATTGGGATCCGACTCGTTCTGAAGAATCATGTTGCGATCCTCGTTGTGAAGCATGACCTTCTTGGGGCTGAACAGTGTGCCCTTGGGAGTCTCGACCTTGGAAATGTTGGTGGAGAACTCGAGATTGTTGTTCGCCGTGTGCTTGAAGACGCCGATCTTGGATCCGCGCACGACGAAGGACCGGTCATGCTTGTAGCCAACAGCAAGCTGAGAGTTAACGTTGCCATCTTCGTCCTTAGTCTCAACATCGTCATCCTCCTCGTCGCTGTCGTAATGCTCGCTACGCTGCGCATCATCCTCTGCATCTTCGTACTCCTCTTCCTCTTCCTCCTCCTCCTGCTCTTCGGGTGTATCTTCCATAACCAAATCATTGAAAGCGGAGGTAATGTACTCCTGCTCTCTGTCCGTCTTCTTTTCCCACTTGACCTCGTTCAGCTGCTCCCACAAAGCTCGGAGAAGAGCTTCTTGGAAACGTTCCAAAGTCGGCTGGTCCTTGAAACGGAGCAGCCAAGAGTATGCTGAGCCATCGGCAGAGAAGTGGTTGAAGATGAAGGACAAGAACTCAAAGTTGAAGACAGGGTTGATATCTGCGATAATCGGGATGCCCAACCAAGCGCGGTCCTCGCTTTCGATTTGCAGCCAGTACTCCCACTTTCCAACTTCGGTGACGGTGGCAGTGACAGCGGCAGCTTGCTGGATAAAGGAGCCAGAGGGATGGTCGTAGAAGTGAAGCTCACAGCTCTCTGTAGCGTACGTGTCGAGAGCCTCTGGGGCCTCCGCTGACTTCGGAGGGCCAGTCGGCTTGGACTTCTTCTCCGGTGTGATAGGCATCTTCGCCGGCGTCTTCGTAGGGGTCTGGACAAGTGATTGCTCTTCCTTCTTTGTGGGTGTGATCGGGTCTTGCGGCACAAACAGACTGTCGGCAGACTCGATTGATCTAACGAGAGTAGGGCTGTGGATGGGACTTGCGGGAGGAATCGGCTGCTCGTCCTCAAATTCGAATTGCTTCAGGTCGACTTCGGATGCTGTTGTATGCGGCTTGCGGTATTTACGCTCGTACTGGCACTCCTTGGCGACCCGCTCGAATTGCGCGACTTGACCAGGAGACACAACGTTGTCGCAGACGAACTCGTAGACGTCACCAGTATCACCACTCAGGTCTCTCCAGGCCAGAATCTTCTCCTTGCCTTCCCGAATCTCGATGCGGAAGTGGAGGGCCTCGTCAAGCAGGAAGGTCTTTTCGTCTCTTTCGGCGGCGGCAAGTGCGTCGATCTCGGCGTCCTCTCCTTCCTCCTCGGCTAGAAGTTCGGCCTCGCCTTCCTCGTAGACTCTCTGTACCACGAGCTGGTATTGGAAATCCTGCGCAGTTCGTCGGATGCGGGCAGCTGCGTCCTTGAAGATGAGTTCGGAGTAGCCCTTTGGCGAGAGGGGGCGAACGAGGTAGAGTTGTCCTTGGGGGAGCTCGATGAGAGATTCTTGGTTGCTAGATCCAAAGATAAGTTTGCCAACTGGAAAAGAGAAAAGTTGTTAGCATGTACTTAAGGGCTCTGGGAAATCGCAAACGGGCGCGGCAGTAAGAAGGTGGAACGACGTTGATCGCGAAACGGTAACAGAAAATGACGCCCAACGAACGCTTCACATGCGCCTCGCTGTCGGTCGCGGGATAAGGCTAAGCGGCGCGGCGAACGCTCCGAGTGATAGGTGAGTAGCGGGGTAAACTTACCGTTTCTGAGGACAAACATCTTGAAGTTTGGGTCTTGTTTGGAAAGCTGTGTTGATCGTGGGCAGAGAGCTCTTGCGACGTGGTTTTGTATTTCTGCAAAGCAAGCCCGGCCGCTGGGTTGATCAAAGGGACAAAGAGACGGAAAGTCCCAGACCTTGGCCACGAAACAAAAGTGATCAGGCACTAGGGAAGAAAATGCGTCATAAGAGGGAGCTTTTGAGTTGGGGTTCAGATGATGGAGGGGTGAAATGGCCTGTGGCTGTGCACGTCCCTTTTTCCTTCCAATTTTTTTGCCACGGCAACACAAGGTCCCTGAGCCACGGTGCCACGGGACCGGGGTATCACGTGGGGCCCCCCGGCAGCGGCCGATCCAGACCCACCCGGACCCTTCTATCCTGCTAGGCAGTACCCTTCCAGCTTCTTTGCCATTGCTTCACAGACATATCGCCACTGCGAGACAAGAGAATCAAGGTGTTGGAGGCCTCAGATTTGTCTTCAATAACGACACTCAGACTTGTGGCAGTAATTCTTGCGCTTCAACAAACGACAAGAAGGCTATACATCATTTGTTGGCACGTCTAACAGGTGTCACCGGCTTACACGTGTGTAGACGCCGGCACCCGGAGGGTGATGGGTGACAAGGATCGTTTGGTGAAATCCCATCCTCAATTTTTCATCAAAGTAGAAATCAGTATTCTGCGCTCGGAATACAATGTTTCCAGACATATCAGGTGTCCCCAGAAACAATCTGCTGCCTTAAGAGTTGAGTAGTACTCCAAAAGACATGGTGCTTTGGCCACTGAGGAAACCCCGAACCATTTACGAGGCAGCTAGCTCAGTGAGTGACGTTTTGAAACATCTTTCACTTGAAGAAAATCGAATAAGGGAACGCAATCTGGTGCAGAATGCCCAACAACAACTTATCATTCTATACAGTTCTTTGAGATCACTACGTCCTACGCATGTTTCAATAGTGAGTAGAGCCCGATGCTGAAAGATATCAAATGAACAGAAGGAAACAAAACTCTTCAACCCAGAGTAATCACAGCTCCTCAGCCACGGGCACCTCCTTCTCAATTTGGCCCAGTACCTCCTGCGCACCATCGACCTCGATCTTCTCCTCGAGTGTCTCCTTGGCCTCTGAGAAATCGTCGGCAATCAACTTTGCAATGTTCATCCCCATCAAGGCGCTGGTCTCCATACACGAGATGAAGCTTTCGACGCCCGAAAGATAATAAAGTCCGTCCCTCAGGATGGGGTCTTGGAAAGTGACACGCGGATATTCAATGGGGTACGAGTTGAACACATGCGGGTAATACCAAGAGATGGGTTCAACAGTGCGCTGGCCAGCTTCCTCTGACTTTTTGCCCGCAACAATGGACGCCGGCACTTCAACGCCAAGCAGCTTTGACAGGAACTCTGCCGTCACCTTCTTGGGAGAGAAGATCTTGTAGAGAAACTCGTCCTTGAGAGTGTCGGGGTTTGTAACGGTTCTGAGGGTGCTGACAGAGTAGAAGCCAGCCTTGCCAGCACCTTCAGAGCCAGCCTTTGCCTCGTCATCAGGGCCGAGCGTTGTCAAGACTGAGTCGGGTGCCTTGGAACCAGGCTCGAGACCAAAGTACTCTGGGGAGAGGTGGAACGGTGAGGCGAAAAGGGTAACGTGAAGCTTGGTGTAAGGAACCTCATCAATCTTGTGCTGGAAAAGATCCTCTGAGACACTGATATCTCCATACTGCCAAGGAGTCGCAATGACGACGTTGTCGAAAGCAATCGGGTACTGGTTCGACTCTGCCTCGGCTTCAGCATGAGCGTCTTTGGTTGAAAGTAGATACTTGGAGCTAGAAGGGCCAGACTTCACGGCGATTGATGTCACCGAAGTGTTGCGATGCAATGTCGCGTTACTCCTTTGAAGCATTGCCTGGAAAACCTGCCAGTTGCCTCCAATGACTTGCCGAGCGCCTTCAGGGGCAAGAGAGACCATGGTCTCAAGGCCATGGATATACTTCAGGTTTGACGCATAGTTGACTCTGGTGGCTGCCTGGATGATATCGTGGGAGAAAAGCTCACTGATCTAGCACAAATCGATTAGTATACGGAATATCAGGCAGGATCATGTTGTGCTTACATCGTTGTTGGCGAGAAACTGCTCCCCGGTAACGGAAGTTGCCTTCAAAAGATCCAGCTCGAAGACTCTTTGCGTGAGCGATCGGAAAGGAAAGTGAGGTTTCTCATAGAGCTGCAAAAAGGTCGCAACGGTCGACTGCACGAGCTTCTGCGCCTTGTACGGGGCGGTGCCGTACTTCCAGAAGAGCTTGGCCAAGTTCCACCAGTTCCAGGAACTATCATCTTGGGAAAAGACAAACTTCTCGCCGTCCCAAATGCCCAGGAAACCATCACTGCCAGACTCTGGCTCTTTCAGGGGAAGACCAAAGTTGATACTGGCATTATAGATGATGTGATTGGCCTCGATGAAGATGGAAGCGCCCAGCTCAACTGGTTCGAGCGGGTTGCCGTAAGCGTCGACGGTCAACGTCCGGCCTCCTACTCGATCGGTCTTTTCAAACACAGTAATGTTGACGGGAAGACCTTCGGCTTCGGCGAACTTTTGGAGGTAGTAGGCCGCGGAGGAACCACCGGCACCCGCTCCTACATACCGTGTAAGTACTGGGTTGAACGGCGACGCGCTAAGGTCATGGACAAATCGTCGGAGCTTCAAAGGTTTTCATGAAGCAGCGTTCACGTACCAATGATGGCCACTTGCTTCACGCCATTCTCGGTGACAACCTGCTCAAGCTCAGTCGCAGGAACGGACTGTGTCAAGCTGAGCGCGGACAGCACAGCTGAGAGCTTGGACCCCCACATGATGTCGCGTAGATTGAAGACTACAAAAGGCGAATCACAGAACTAGATGAAGACGATGAAAGAAGGGAGAGATAGGAATGACTGGTCAGGAACAACTGTGTCAGCGATACGTTTGAGTACGCTTGGAAGATGAACAGGATGAAAGGAGAGCACGAAATAGATTCGTCATTTGTGAGGTGTCTCCGGCGTGTCTCCGGGAGGTCCCCAAATGAATTAAACTCAGGGTGAGTAAACAAACCGCTGCTTTACTTTGGTAGCTCTGGAATTTAGTGCAGTTGAAGCTCACCTTTGGTACGACCAACGGAGATGATGCAGCAAGAAACTGAACGGCAGGCGGTAAGTGGACCGTCTATAATACTCTCCTTTATTCTATACGTGAGGTTATTCAGTAAAAGACGGTCTAAGTATGAATTCTTGATCTTGGTAGATAAGCCACTTGGCCTTCGCAACCAAAGAAAAGATGTCACCGGCACAAGCTTGGGGTAAAGCAGCGGTGTATTCTTGGGGTGAAAGTTTCATTGCAGTGGTCCTCTAGGGGACCCCTAAGTCCCCACGTCCCGGTCTCCCGTTCTCAGCTTGCATTCGCCCCATCAGGAGGCTCTAACGACGCACGGTTCATAGAACGGCGGGATTGCTGACAGATGCGGCAGCCATCCACACCTCACTAAGTACATATTCCCCTACGCATGCAGCTATGCTTATAGAGAGAATTAGTCAAGAATGGACCACTGCAGGTGCCAGGCACCCACCACCACCAAGCTGGCAATTAGGTAGTGAGCCAGCACCTTCTACCAGCGTCTGACCGCCTGCCACCTCGAGGCAGAAAAAAAGTCACCAGCAGAGTCCCGCATCTGAAGCTCCCGGGGCCAGGTCAATCTCGAGAACACTCCACGTCAGGTCGCTAATCCAATAACTTTACCGACTGATACCCCCTCACGAACCCCTCGACGACCTCAAGCCAACATGTCTGCGGCGCAACTGCTCAACCCCAAGGCCGAATCGAGGGTGCGCGACCCTTGTCCTGACGATATTTGTTTGCATGCTAACGGCTAGTGCAGCGGCGGGGTGAAGCCCTGAAGGTCAACATCAGCGCTGGTGAAGGCCTCCAGGATGTCCTCAAGTCCAACCTCGGCCCTTTGGGCACTATCAAGATGTTAGTCTATCGCTGTTTATGTCTTCAAATTAGATGCTAACATTAATAGGCTTGTCGATGGCTCCGGTCAAGTGCGAATAACTACCCCTCTTCCCCTGAATCCCCACCGCTAATGCGCCGCCGAACAGATCAAGTTGACAAAAGATGGAAACGTCCTCCTCCGCGAGATGCAAATTCAAAATCCTACCGCAGTCATGATTGCTAGAGCTGCGACGGCACAAGATGATATCTGCGGAGACGGCACGACATCAGCTGTCCTGTTGATCGGAGAACTCCTCAAGCAGGCGGATCGTTATATCTCAGAAGGACTGCATCCTAGAATTATTACGGATGGTTTCGAGATTGCCAAGAACGAGGCGTTGAAGGTGGGCATCTATTGAACACGGATACTTGGATAGTGGTGCTGACGGGCGAACAGTTCCTTGACGGCTTCAAGCTCGAGAAGGAGGTCGACCGCGAGTTGCTTCTCTCCGTGGCCCGCACGTCGCTTTCCACGAAGCTTAACTCCAACCTTGCGGCCAAGCTCACCCCCGATATCGTCGATGCTGTTCTCGCCATCTACCAGGCACCTGCCAAGCCGGATCTGCACATGGTCGAGATCATGAAGATGCAGCACCGGACCGCCTCCGACACCCAGTTGATCAAAGGTCTTGCCCTCGACCACGGCGCCCGCCACCCCGATATGCCCAAGCGCCTTGAGAACGCCTACATCCTGACGATGAACGTCAGCTTGGAGTACGAGAAGTCTGAGATCAACTCTGGATTCTTCTACTCTAGCGCAGAGCAGAGAGACAAGCTGGTGGAGAGCGAGCGTCGTTTCGTTGATGCTAAGTTGAAGAAGATTGTCGAGCTGAAGAAGGAGGTTTGCGGAAACGACCCCACCAAGAACTTCGTCATCATCAACCAGAAGGGCATTGACCCTCTTTCTCTCGACGTACTGGCCAAGAACGGCATTCTCGCCCTCCGCCGTGCCAAGAGAAGAAACATGGAGAGACTGCAGCTCATCTGTGGTGGTGTTGCACAGAACAGTGTTGACGACCTGTCACCCGAGTCTCTGGGATGGGCTGGTCTTGTCTACGAGCAAACTCTGGGTGAGGAGAAGTACACCTTCATCGAGGAGGTTAAGGAGCCCAAGTCTGTCACCCTGTTGATCAAGGGACCCAATGCACACACCATTACTCAGGTTACGGACGCTGTCCGTGACGGTCTGCGCAGTGTCTACAACATGATTGTGGACAAGAGCGTTGTCCCGGGTGCTGGTGCTTTCCAGGTTGCCTGCGCAGCACACCTCAAGAGCGACGCCTTCTCCAAGACGGTGAAGGGCAAGGCCAAGTGGGGTGTCGAGGCCTTCGCCGATGCTCTGCTGATTATTCCCAAGACTCTCGCTGCCAACGCCGGTCTTGACATCCAGGATGCTCGTAAGTGCACAGTACGCTTGCTTTTTGAAGAAGATTCACTAACATGTCACAGTTGCTGCTATGCAGGATGAGCACGCGGATGGCAACATCGTTGGCTTGGATCTGGCAACGGGCGAGCCGATGGACGCAGAGCTCGAGGGTATCTTCGACTCCTTCAGAGTACTCAGAAACTGCATCGCCTCAAGTTCGAGCATTGCATCCAACCTGCTTTTGTGCGACGAACTCTTGAAGGCGAGACAGATGGGCAGAGCGGGAGGCCCTGGCCCTGGTATGGACGGCCCTGAGGAGTAAAGAGTTTGATGGATTCCAATATTAAAAGTGTTGGCACGGTAGACAAAAGGCGTTGATCATAGATCTGTCAAAGCTGAGAGCCGGAATGATATCCAACTATGAAGACAATTCCTGCATTCCATTTCGTGAAGTGTGTTAATTCAAAGTGGTTGGGACATGTCAGTCAGGGGCAGCCTTCATCGTTTGCTACCCCTCGCTGGAGGAGGGCAGGTGAGGAGCGATAAGATAAGCCCCGCATCGAAATATTTCGAGAGCCAAAAAATCTTGACCCCACGTACCCAGCCCAACCCGTCAATCTGGCAGCCCATACCGATTTACACAACCATGGCAGATTACGACAGTGATTCCTCCGAGCAGGAGTTCACGGAGACCAACGTGTTGCTCGGTTACGCCAGCAAAGACGCCGACGATGACACCATCAGTCGTCTTGGTGGTCAACCAGTAAGTTCTCCTTTGCCGCCGCGCATCGACAAACAGAGATGACAGCCCCCCAAATTGACTGACACATGGTTGTTTTCACTTGTAGGAATGGTTGAACCCCGAACAACCAGCCTCAGCAGCCCTGGCGCGCTGTCAAGTGTGCAACGAGATCATGGTCCAGCTTCTCCAACTCAACGGCGAGCTCCCCGAAAAGTTCCCCGGCCACGAGCGCCGCCTGTACGTCTTCGCCTGCCGCAAATCCACCTGCCGGCGCAAGCAGGGCAGCATCCGCGCTGTGAGAGGTGTCAAGGTATCCAAGGAAGCGCAAGCAGCGGCAGCAAAGAAGGCGGAAGCGAAGCCTCAGAAGAAGGTGGAGGAGAAGGAAGAGCCCAAGAAAGACGTCAGCTCGGGACTGGGAACCGCGCTCTTTGGCGGCGGTTCCGGTGCAGCGAACCCGTTCGGAGGCAACGCGAACCCGTTCAGCACGGGCGCCTCTTCAAGCAGCAGCCCCTTTGGCACCGCCGCCCCGTCGAACCCGTTTTCTAAGTCCGCCGCCGCCGACGAGCCCACGCAGAAGAAGGAGGAGGCCAAGGACCCGGCCGAGTCCCTCCCCAAAACCTTTGCCGAGACGCTGAACCTCAACAACCCGCAAACGCCTTCCGGGCCGCCCCCGCCGCCAGAGCCGTGGCCCGCGGCCGACGCCCTGCCTAAGCCGTACCCGATTTCCTACCTCGCGGACGCCGAGTTCGAGACGCTCGACCCGGAACCTATGCCCGCGCCGCAGAACGCGCGGATGGAGGTGGACACCGAGGGTGGTAGCGGCGCTGGTGGGGGAGGCGACATGAAGGACGTCTTCGAGTCGTCCATGGACGCGGCGTTTCAAAAGTTTGCGGACCGCATGGAGCAGAACCCGGAACAGTGTATCCGCTACGAGTTCAACGGCACGCCGCTGCTGTACTCCAAGGCGGACGCCGTGGGCGCGAAGCTGGGCGCCGCTGCCGGCAGTGGTGGAATGACGCGGTGCGGAAACTGTGGTGCCAGGCGCGTGTTTGAGGTGCAGATGACGCCGCATGCCATCACCGAGCTCGAGGCGGAGGAGCTGTCGCTTGAGGGTATGGACTGGGGTACCATCATTGTCGGCGTTTGCGAGGCGGATTGTCAGCAGCGCGGTGTCGAGGTTGGTGAGGCAGGGTATCTTGAGGAATGGTGTGGTGTTCAGTGGGAGGAGCTTTCAAAGCGATGAGAAAGTTATGTGCTACACGACGATGATTTAAAAGGGGACAGGCAGGGACAAAGATTTTGCAGCACATCAAAATAATGAGAAGAAAAAGAAGCGTTTTACACGACATTTCAAACATTGTGGCATGTCTCATATTCAGGGATATACTCTATGGCCCCCGATTCCAAAGTCAAAAGTGAACGCCGGTAATTTTTGCCGCCATGCTCTCTTCCAGCCCTAACTCCATGTACGGAGCTATTAGCAGCCAAGGGTTGTGATATCAACCCTTGCGTCCCCTTCTTCTGTTCATCCTCACACCGAAGCCCAAGTCTGCGATTTCTCTTCTTATTTTTCAAAAAAGTACTTCTTTTACGCAGTCTCCTCCCATGATCTGCGAAGAATCCTCGAGAACATGTCGACGTTGACGTCCTCCCTGATCTCAGACTTCTTGGCCTCGTTCTCGGCGTTCTTGGGGATGGTAACGACGCCATTGTCGCCAACGGTCCAGCCGGCAACCTCGGTGACGAACTTTGCGGTGGCGTCGCCGTCGAGGCCGAGCCACGACTCGAGCTGGGACAGGCTGACCTCGCGGAAGGCCTGGGCGATCGAGTTGGCAATGTTGCTGCGGATGAGGTCCTCGAAGCCTGAGATGTCGGCAATGAGGTCGGCGCAGAGGTCATCGCCGTCAATGGTGTTCCAGAAGCGGGCGTACTGGGAGCCCTCGAGCTGGCTGTTGAGGGTGCGCAGCTTGGCGACGGCCTCATGGAGCTCGCCCTGGGCGATGGTGGAGGGGTTGATGAGGTGCAGGGCGAGGGTGAACTGCGGCGAGGGGAACTGGGTCATGGCCTTGACGAGGATGTTGGTGACGACCTCATCCTTGAGACGGTCGGGGTTGAGCTGGTACCTGGAAGGAGAGAGAAGACAAAGTGGTCAGCTGTCGAGTTCCATGATGATGTAGGCTCGTATCCAAATTGTGTCTCAATATTGAGTTCCGGTATCGTTCAGTTAACACCATGTGCTGACTTCAGTTGCGACTGAGGGGTTCATGACGGAACAACCAGTGCATGTCAGGTAATAGGAAACGTTTACACGATCATCATATAAACCGGCGCAAGACCAAGCAAAGGGGTCTAATGCCACCGACGTGTACAAAAAAGACGCGTGGTGGTGGTCGAGTAGGCATATTGGAGATTGCGACTCACAGCTTCAGGAGTGTCCGGTTCGCATTGCAGTCGCAGTACTTCTGCTCGCACTGCTCCTGCAGGTAGGACTCGAGGTTGACGACAGCCTCAGGGTTGTACCGCTCGAGGCCATTGATGATGTTGACAATGTAGTCGGGCCGCTCGGGCGGATCTTCGCCGTTCAACATGATTGCTGGTTTTATGTGCGGCGTGGGGGGGTGTGAGAGGGTGGTTTTCGAGGTTCGGCGGGTTAGGAGAGGTATCGTGGAGGGGAAGGAAGAAATCGGTGCCGCTGGTGGGGCTTGGGCCGCCCTGGCGAAAGATTTCCAAAAGTTCGAGTGTGTTGTTGTGTGGAAGTCGCTTGGGTCGTCAAATGAGGTTTAGCGCCGGAGCAAGGGGAAAGGTGTGGCCGCTCCTCCTCCGCAGGTAAACCAGGACACCTTACCTAAGACGATGGATCCAAGGGTTCAGCTGACTAAGGGAGAAAGCTACAGGGGTGGCTAGGAAGGTGCACGTACCCTCTTGTTCGGTTCGCAGGCAGCGGCGTCATTGACTGAGACTGTTACAGGGTTGAGCTAAGGTACCTCAGCGGACAGCTCAGTGATGAACTAACAACGTTGAGCAGATGGAAAGAGAAGGAAGTAAAATTCCACTGGGCAGTTCGTGATGATAACACGAAGTTTCATTTGCATCTGTTCTCACTAGAATCATCATCCGAAGCTTTCCACGCACTAAGTTCCTGCATTGAACATCATCATCACCATGCCCAGCCCAAGTAAGAAGAGGAAACTGAACGATCAGTCGTCAACCGGAGTACCTTCGAGAGGTTTGGAATACTTCTTCTCTAAGCAGAAGCAGAACGGCACATCGTCACTGAAACCCACAACGGAACCTGCTCCTGAAGCCATATCGAATGGCACGGGATCCGCCGACCAGCAGCCGGAGTTGACGGATGAGGAGCTTGCCAGGAAGCTGCAAGCGGAATGGGATGCCGAGGTGCAGAATGAAAGAGCAGAATCTACGCCATGTCCTGAGCCAGCAAAGGACCCAGGTTTACGGTTGAATGAGACTAATGGAGAGGAACCTATCGAGGCAAAGTCTGGACTGAAAGGGTCGCCGACATCCTCAGTTCTGCCAATTGTTACGCCAAAGACGAAGACGCTGTCACTATCTTCCGTGGCAAATGCTGAAGACACGGTTTCAGCAACCATTCCTCTGGACCAAAGCCCACTGATATTTGATCCTTCAGAATATGTCCCTCAGCTGAAGGAATCATGGGCAGCTGAGGGAGGGCACGCTTCATACGCATTCCTCACCCGATGCTTCATCTTGGTATCCGCTACACAAAGTCGGATTAAGATTGTGGATACTCTAGTCAACTGTATCAGAGTACTGATTGAAGCTGACCCGGAGAGCCTACTGCCCGCGGTCTGGCTTGCAACAAATTCCATCTCGCCCCCTTACATCTCCTTAGAGCTCGGTTTGGGGGGGTCAGCGATTTCCAAGGCACTGAAGCAGGTGTGTGGATTAGACGGTCGCTCCCTAAAGACACTTTACGACAAGCACGGTGATGCCGGGGACGTTGCATTCGAGGCCAAGAAGAAGCAAAGCTTTACTCTGCGGAAACCGAAGCCCTTGACCATCAAGGCTGTCTACCAATCACTAGTCAAAATTGCCAATAGCCAAGGTAACGGAAGCGGCGAAGCAAAGCAGAGAATTGTCGATCGACTTCTACAAGATGCCCGCGGTGGTGAAGAGAGCAGGTTCATTGTACGAACATTGTGTCAACATGTAGGTTTTGATTTTGTAACAGCCTTTTTATCAAATGTCTAACGTCGGTAGCTACGTATTGGTGCTGTCAAAACCACCATGTTGATTGCTCTTTCAAGAGCCTTCCTCCTTTCTAGACCTCCGGGAGCTGAGTTCCCACTACGATCAGTCAAGGACCTCCAAAAACTAAAGAAGGAAGAGCTCGCTGAAGTATGGAGCAGGCCAGAGGAAATACTAAAGGCCTGCTTCGCGCGGCGCCCCAACTACAACGATCTTGTACCCGTCTTATTGGAAATTGGCGTCTGCGACGAGCTGTTACTTCGTTGTGATTTAACGCTGCACATACCACTCCGGCCCATGTTGGGAAGCATCACGAGAGACCTTTCCGAGATGCTCACGAAACTCCAGGGCAGAGACTTTGCTTGCGAGTTCAAGTATGACGGCCAAAGAGCTCAGATCCACTGCGATGAAAGCGGCAAAATTTCCATCTTCTCAAGACACCTCGAGCTGATGACGGACAAGTACCCCGACTTAGTCGCATTGATGCCCAAGGTTCGCGGCGAAGGCGTCAACAGCTTTATTATGGAAGGCGAAGTGGTGGCCGTGGACAGCGAGACGGGAGATTTGAAGAACTTCCAGACGCTGAGCAATCGCGCGCGGAAGGATGTCGCTATCGGCAGCGTGCAAGTCAACGTTTGCATGTTCGCATTTGACCTCATGTTTCTCAACGGACAACCCCTACTGAACCGGCCCTTTCGAGAAAGAAGGGAGCTCCTGCGATCAATGTTTATCGAAGTTCCCCGCCAATTCACCTGGGTGAAGAGTCTGGATGCTACGTCGCAAGACTCGGATGCCGTATTGGAGTTTTTTAAGGCGGCAACCGATATCAAGTGTGAAGGCATTATGGTCAAAATCTTGGACAACTTGACAGATGTCCCCTACCATGGTGACGGCGCAGTAGATGCCGATGGCGAGGTTGCCGAGGAACCCAGAACGCCTTCAAAGTCAAAATCACGAAGCAAAGGCACCAAGGGCGAGGAGGGCGCTCCGAAGAAGAAGGGCAGACGCAAGCCTCTCTTGGCCACATACGAGCCCGATAAGCGACTAGACTCGTGGCTAAAGGTCAAGAAGGACTACAACTCAAGCTTTGAGACGTTGGACATGATTCCGGTAGCCGCCTGGCACGGACAAGGCCGGAAGTCCAAATGGTGGTCGCCAATCCTCATGGCCGTCCGCAACGACGACAGCGGCGCTCTCGAGGTCGTGTGCAAGTGCATGTCGGGCTTTACAGACGCCTTCTATAAGGCGAACAGGGAACACTACGACGACGGCGAGCTAACCGAGAGGCAGAACACGCGCACCCAGAAGCCCGCGTTTGTCGAGTACTCTGGTCCCGAGCCTGACGTGTGGTTCGAGCCTCAGGAGGTGTGGGAGATGGCGTTTGCGGACATCACTCTGAGTCCGACGTACACGGCCGCCATTGGGCTCGTCAGCGACGAACGAGGGTTGAGCCTGCGATTCCCTCGATTTTTGAAGAAGCGCGAGGATAAGAGCATGGACGAGGCGAGTACGAATGAGTTTCTTGCTGGTTTGTGGAGGAAGCAGGAGGCGAAGGCGCCGACGAAGGAAGGGCAGGGCGATGTTTTGGACGAATTTGAAGAGTAATACTGGATAATCAGTCGAGATGTTGATCTGTAAGCTTGCGTTGATGTTATGACAGAGTTGAGGATATCATTGTGCTTCAGTGGCCACGGGATCGGCAGGAATGCACGATATGGAGGGGTCCTCGGAGCCGATGTCTTCTCCTGGTGACGTTCGGAGATAACTCCAGCAGCTTGCCTCTTTGCCTTTCTGGCTGCTTGGCACTGTCAAATGACCAGAGAATCCGGGGTTAGAGGAGTAGGTGTTGTTGACAGCGACAGGAAGTTAATATGAACAAACACACCACAAACATTATTTTTCAAAATACCCAATAGCTCGTGGCCATACTCGGGCGTGAGAACTCCTTAACACATCGAATCATAATCGGGTCTTCTCGAGTCCATCCCGCATGGGCCGGTGAAATAATGCCTTCATATGAGAAGGTCGCGCAGCCCGAGGCGTACCCGTTGAAGAGGACTGCTCATTGTCCGAATAATGATCTTCCAGTCCTCATATATCGTGATGTTCTCCAGCCACTTAACGAGGAGAGCGCATCAGAAAGACTTCAACGTCACGGCTGGGAGAAGAAGGTAAGAATTCTGGCTTACCAAGTCTCCGTATACTCATTTGACGTCGTTATTAAAGAGACTTTTACCTATAGGGAACTTGGGGGACTATCAGTCTGAAGCACTTTCACCCAAACACTCACGAGTGTTACGGCAGGTCCATCGATCCCCTTGAATCATTCAACTCCATTAACCCATGAAGCAGGCGTCTTTCAAGGCAGCTCCGAGCTAGTCTTTGGCGAAGGGGTCTCGGATGACGTCGGCAGCGGAGTACGATGTATAGTGCGAGCCGGCGATGTCGTCGTCGTCCCAGCAGGCGTAGGGCATGCCTCTGTCTCAAAGGCGGAGGGAGCAGCGGATCCTGTTGAGGGAGAGCCTGAGTATCGATATGTTGGAGTATATCCCAAAGGTTCACCTCATTATAAATACGAAATCGGCAAGAAGAAGTTGGAGGAGAAGAGCGGGCTGTTAGAAGAGGTTTCCGCTGTTCCCGTACCGCCCAATGATCCCTTATACGGGATTGAGGGGCCGTTGGTGAGGATTTGGAATAACTCAAGAGGAATATTCGCGTCTGTTGGGGAGGCACTCAAAGAGAATAACTTATGATGGCGTACAGTAGTTACGATTTGAGACGGACGTGGAGATGGAGGTCTCCGCATTGGCCAGGGGTAGTATCAGCAGCCGTCGCCTGCAAAGCAAAGGATCAAACAATGTTCATTGATATCAGGGCCTGTGTCAAGGAGCCTGGCGCGGTGCTTTTTCGTATCGCATTGCCTACGACTATAGTAGTACTTGCACATCTTCCACATCTTCTTTGTGCCTTCAGGTGACTCATTAATCTGATATCATGCTCGTATACTCGTTGCAGCAACGGCTATGAGTCTCAGTAAGTCGTGAATCGGCGGTACCAGGGCCTGACCCTGTCCTCAACGAGCACCACTCTCCCAGTTGCCGGTGGAAGAGGTCGCCCGCATATGTTCAACTTCGTCCTTGCAAGCGCGAATTCCCTGTCATGCTGCGGGATGTGTCTCGCACGACTAATTTCTTCGCCTGCCTATGACTCTGCTGCGGATGGTGTTGTTGCGGGGCGCATCATCTTGGACCGCAGAGCCCTGAAGCAGGCTTTGCGAACCTCTGGATACCCAACGCGGCGGGCATTCATCGAGAAGCTCGACATCTGTGGTTCAACCTAACGAACACTATTGGTCGACTGTGTTGATTCATTTCACGGCATTCATCCTCTGAGCAATCAAGCTGAAGATAGTCACAGAGCTCATGAAGAGGACTGCGTTATAAAACTGCATGACTGGTAAGTTTAGGGACACCATGGAGCTGTTTGACACCGACTCACTGCTTTCCTAGACACTTCCCGCTCTTCATCATCCGTTCTTGCCTCGATGAACAAACGACGCAGGTTGGGCAATGTGGCCTTAAAGAGACTTGTCAGATGCCTTCATTCACTAGATGAACGGAAATGGCTTACCATGGTGATTTATTTAGTGGTTGGTATTATTGGCAGTGTTTCAGATCGCGGGCCTGGGCCGAATTTCTTAGCAAATTTTGTTTGCTGAAAGGGATAAAAGCTCCGTAATGCCGTGGAGGAGCCGGAGAAGTATAACAAAAAGTGAGGTCAAGGGCAGCAGATGGAAATGGCGATGTTGCAATGAGCTCATCAATGTTTACTTGCCTTAGAGCTTGGTACCTTGTACCTCTGTAAAAGAGTTTCCGATAAAACAACAGGCCCGATAGTTGCATGTGCGTCGCTGTGGAGTCGCCAAGGAGGATGGAGCGACATTCATTTAGCGAATCGGAGCAGTGCAGCGCCCAGCACTGCTGCCAGGCTGGCCAGGCTGGGATTAAGGTTAGGGGTGCATTCCACTGCCAGGTACTTCTTCGACCACCTCATCCTCTTGGCGACTACCGACGAGGTGCATTCACTGCATCCCCCGGACACCTACGACGAGCAAAAGCAAGCGGACTGCTGTTGAATACCGAGACTTTACCTTTGGATGAGCTTGTCCAGGTCCTGATCGGACTGGCTATCTCTCTCATCTGCCAGATCGCCTCTAGCCCCCTCCGACAACACACCCTAAATCACCATACCCCCTACCTCGAGCACCTCCCGACACCATGGCGGTCAATCGGATTCGTGGGGCCTTTGCTGTCCCGAGGAAGGGAGAGACCTTTGAGCTGCGGGCAGGCCTTGTCTCTCAATATGCCTACGAGCGCAAGGAATCCATCCAGAAGACGATTATGGCGATGACGTTGGGCAAGGACGTGTCTGCTTTGTTCCCCGATGTCCTGAAGAACATTGCGACAGGCGACCTGGACCAGAAGAAGCTGGTTTACTTATACTTGATGTTAGTCCGCAGTCGAAACCGATCTGCTGCCTAGGCGAGGCATCTAAAGCGACTACTGACAGCATACAACAGGAACTACGCGAAATCGCATCCAGATCTCTGTATTCTTGCCGTTAATACTTTCGTACAAGATTCCGAAGACCCAAATCCCCTCATCCGTGCGCTAGCGATCCGAACGATGGGCTGTATTAGAGTCGACAAGATGGTGGATTACATGGAAGAGCCGCTGCGGAAGACACTACGAGACGAGTCGCCATACGTTCGAAAGACGGCCGCGATTTGTGTCGCCAAACTCTTCGATCTCAACCCATCAATGTGCATAGAGAACGGCTTTTTGGAGTCACTGCAGGAGTTGATTGGGGACCCGAATCCTATGGTTGTCGCAAACTCGGTCCAGGCGCTTTCAGAGATCACCGAAACCGCACCAGAGACTCGAGCACTTGTAGTGACACCGGCCACACTGAAGAAGCTGTTGATGGCTCTCAACGAGTGCACGGAATGGGGTCGCGTCACTATCCTGACCACACTGGCCGACTATCCTGCTGCGGATACCAAGGAGTCTGAGCACATTTGTGAAAGAGTTGCGCCACAGTTCCAACACGTCAACCCCAGCGTGGTCTTGGCCGCCGTGAAGGTGGTCTTCATCCACATGAAGGCAGTTAGCCCGGAGCTTGTGCGATCATACCTAAAGAAGATGGCGCCGCCTCTTGTCACGCTTGTGGCGTCTGCTCCTGAGGTGCAGTATGTTGCTCTGCGCAATATTGACCTCCTCCTGCAGGCTAAGCCCGATATTCTTAGCAAAGAGCTGCGAGTCTTCTTCTGCAAATATAACGATCCCCCCTACGTCAAACTTCAGAAGCTCGAGATCATGGTTCGGATAGCCAACGAGAAGAACTTTGACCAACTCCTCGCAGAATTGAAAGAGTACGCTTTGGAGGTCGATATGGACTTTGTCAAGCGCGCCGTCAAGGCCATTGGCCAGGTTGCGATCAAGCTCGAGAGTGCCAGTCAGAAGTGCGTCAACGCATTGTTGGACTTGATTGCCACCAAGGTCAACTACGTTGTGCAGGAGGTTGTGGTGGTTATCAAGGATATTCTCCGCAAATACCCTGGTTACGAGGGCGTCATCCCCACGCTCTGCAAGTATATCGACGAGCTGGACGAGCCAACGGCAAGAGGATCGCTGATTTGGATTGTGGGAGAGTACGCTGAGAAGATCAACAACGCCGACGACATTCTGGAAAGTTTCGTGGAGGGTTTCATGGAGGAGTTCACACAGGTTTGTCGATTCATTCCAGATATTCAAGGACACCGCTAACTTTCAGCAGACTCAACTCCAGATCCTGACTGCTGTGGTCAAACTCTTCCTCAAGAAGCCCGGCAGCAACCAGGGACTGGTCCAAAAGGTGCTTCAGCAGGCTACGACAGACAACGACAACCCAGATATCAGAGACAGAGCTTACGTCTACTGGCGTCTATTGTCAGGCGATTTGGATGTCGCCAAGAATATTGTCCTGTCTCAGAAGCCCGCCATTACCACAACAATGACCAGCCTTCCCCCTGCTCTCCTCGAGCAACTTCTCGCAGAGCTTTCTACTCTGGCGTCGGTGTACCACAAGCCACCAGAATCATTTGTCGGCAAGGGTCGCTATGGAGCAGACGAGATTCAGCGCGCGGCCATCCGCGAACAACGTCAAGAGGCGGCCGAAAACCCCATTGCTGCGTCAGTGGCAGCTGTGGCCAACGGCAACGCCAACTCACAAAACAACATCGAAAACCTTCTCGATATCGACTTTGATGGTGCTGCCCCTGCATCAGCCGAGCAGCAGAGCAACATCAACACCCCAGACAGAGTGGCCAGCCCTGCGGGAGGTGGTAACTCGAGTGCCATGGCTGACATGATGGGTTTGTTTGATGCTCCTCCGCCGCAGCAACAGCAGGCGGCCAACCCGATGAGCCCTGGAGCAGGTGGTGGCGGCATGAATGACATGATGAACGGCTTCGCTGGGCTCGACTTTGGCAACACAGGGTCCGGGCAGCCCTTGCCGGCGGGCATGCAATTACACCAGCCTGCACAACCTCAAGGTGGCGAAGGAAACGGGAAGAAGACGAATGAGGACTTGCTTGGGTTGTTCTAGATCTCTTGCTAATGGAGCTGGTTCATTGGGGAGTCCAGGCATGCTGTTAGGAGTAGGTTGATAAATGACAAAGAACGAAGCCACGAAAAGCCTGCTTCTGCTTTTCTGCTTTCCGCGAAAAACTCATGTATATACTCGAAAAGGGGGGTGTCTAGACCAAACACCCATCGCGCCATCCTCCCAAGATGCCTCCATTTTCTTCTTTTTGGATCTCATGCGTGGCGTCTCTTTTCCCGCCTTGTATAGGGACGTATCGCCCTGTGTATATGTTCATGTCGCCCCAAGCGGCCCAGTCATCTCCGTGTTCGGCGCGAAGTGACAACTGATGATGCATAATGCTCCCCTCTCCCCAACCGGGGCGGCCAGTCCAGTCCAGCTCCAATTCCGGTGCGATGTGTCTTGTCCCATTTTCCCTTTTTCATCACTGCGCAACACCCTCCACCCTGCCGCCGACAGTCCCGTCCATCGGCGGGCCGTCGCTGCCTCCGCCGGCGGCGGCTCTATCGCGCTCCCACTCGGCGGGCGTCTGGCACTTTGCGCTCCAGGCGTGGATCTGGGCGATCTCGTCCTTGAGGGCGGCGTTGACGAGGCGGTGGCGCTTCAGGGAGGTTTGTTTCTCGAAGGCGGGGGAGACGATTGTCGAGGTGAAGGCTTGTCCGCAGCCGCCTGTTTGATAGAATGTATTAGTTGGGAGGAAGCCCAGAATGTCGCATAATGGTGGTTTCGCATGGGTCGGTGAGGTGTGCTGGGCGCGACAGACGATGCGCGGGCGAGTACATTGATTTCTAACATGGCGGGGCATGACGTGGGGGGGGTTTTCGGTTGAAGGAGTGCATGCTGGCGACGAGCGAAGACGTACCTGACATATCCGAGATCTCGACGTGAATTGCCTGCAGACGCTCGGTGAGGGCCTGCTTTAGCGAGGCCTCTGTTATTTGGTTTGCCATCTTGTATGTGATTGTGAGGGTATCTAGTGGTTTTCGGGAAAGAGCGACGGTCGGGTTCCGGGGGGTGGCAGCTTTGGGTTGGGAGATTGTCGAAAATCGGAGGTGCTTGGTTCTGCGGTGGGTTTCCTGTGGTGGGCGGCGTGGCTTGGGTCGGCGATTAGATTGATTAGATTAGATGGTGGGGTTCTTTTTTGAAAGTGTCAGGCGGAGTGGTTCCGTCATTGGGGATCTAAGGTAAGTTTGGTGGCTTCCATTCGTCTTGGGGACTTTGTTGGAGATGCTGCACTTCCTTATGGATTGCTGTACTGCCATGGCCCTTTGATCCGAGCGCATTGAACTTGGATTGCCCTGTTTATCTTTTCTGATCTCAAAGTTTCCTTTGCATCCTTTCCGTGTGAAGCAAAGCGTCATCTAACGTCCACTACGGTCTTAAGCATTCCGATCAACGAGATGGAGGTGGTCTCACCACGGGCAAAGAAATACCTCTACTGATATAAAGTACTTCAACGCAGTAACCGCTGCTTTGAGCTTTGAATCACGCGCCATGAGCAGGTCCCCATGCTCACGTCCACGGGTCATTGTATGCAATTCAGAGAGTCGTAGATCCGAATCTGTATATCTCCAGTTCGTGATTCTGCCAATCTGATGCTCGCCAGTGCCTCTTCTTTCTCGCGTTGCATTGTGATATGAGATAGATTGCAACCGATGAGGTGATACAGTCTTCTCGCCAGTACTGGATGTCCCTTGTACTTCAACCTCACACCATGATGGGATACAGCAAAGAATACTGGGTTTATCAGTAGAGACTACCATTGTAGGACCAAAAGCCTGGAACTAATTAACCCACTGCATGCTGCTCGTATTCGTGATCGAACATTGCCAGAGGCGTTATAGATAAACAAGAACGGGTGACCAGTCCATGCGCCCCAGGATTACGCCGACTTGCCCTGTGCACAAGTTCAAACCGGTTCATTCCAATAGATATAGCCATTGGAATTAGCGAATATCATCGCCTCTATCACGATGTACACGATCCGACAGACCTACGCAAGCGTGCACTCCTGACGCTTAGATTTGATAAGTAAGGAAGTATTTGAAGGCGAGTTTGGGTCGGGCTCTGCTCTAGCTCAGAACATATGAGAAGATATCATATCTGAAAGTTCTTTTATGTAGTTGAAGCCCTCTCTTTCACAGACTACTGTAAAAGTCATTCAGGAGAAAGAACCCTCAGCAAGAACCATAGATAGATAGGTTTCATGCTCTACAACTAGAAATTTGGGTACCTTTTTTACCTCAACAGTTTTTGATTTAGATTTAGGAGTTAGTACCAATCTCGAAGTTCTTTTCATGTCATAGACACTGAGTCCCATACCTTAGAGAGAGAAGGGACATATATCATCAATATATCAACAATATATCACCCAACTGCATCATAAACATGCAAAAATGACAAAACAATTAGGTAATTCCGAAACCGAGAATCGAACTCGGGGCTATGCCTAACCTTTCACTGGGGATGAGAGGGCATCATGTTGGCCACTACACCATATCGGATTGATGGTTGTTGACAGACCGGCGAAGACTTTGCACCAAGTACCGTGAGTGGATTGGCGGTCTCCGCTTTCGGGTACTTACTCGCTCGTTCACCATGCACGTACCCATACAAGGCAGTCAACCACTGCATGCGCGCCCGTGGTAGACGTGGAGTCTCATCATGACAGAGAAGCTTGAGGATGAGACTTGGCTGAGTTGATGATGAAAAAACAGGTCTGTCTCAATGTTGACGAAAGAAGAGTCAAGCAAGAGAGGTTTAGTTGACGACACGCAGGTCAACACTGAAGCAACTCGGAAGGCACGACTTGGAGGAAAGTGGGGTATGTGTCATTGCGGGGCTTATGTCATTCAGTCAAAACACTAATGACAGAAGACATCTTCGTATGCATTTAATGGATATTTGAATGAAGCTCGAGCTCTGCAACCCCTCTACAACATTACCTCATACCACGACACCTAGATTCAAGGCTTGAAGAATTTAGGAACTTGAGCGTGTTGTATGTCAATCGATTTCGAAAGAAGCAAGAGTCTGTTTGATCCTTCTATATCTGAACTCTACAAGAGAAGCTATGCTCACTGATTTCAGGACGCCCATCCAGTCAATGAGCTTCAAGCTTGCTAGGGCATCAGCGCATATAAGTCGACGGTCTTGCGGGTCTACAGCTTCACTTCGGCTTCAGTCCTTGAACATCTCCACGAAAGTCCACAACTCTGCTTCTCATTCCTCGACAGCATCTTGCCTTCATCAGACTCATCTTGCCACAACAAATATCAAAATGGCGGCTAGCGACAAGTACTCCTCTGCAGGCTTCACCGCCCAGGTAGTGGCTGCCATGCGCAAGCAGTAAGTCTCACCATCACCTCTCAGCCAAACACAGACCAATTAAAACTAAATCGTCTCACACAGCTACCCTGAAGAGATTGCCGACAGGAGATGGGACAATGTCGGTCTTCTCCTGGATAACATCGTGACCACCACAACCGCCACGCAAAAAAGCCCAGTCGTCCTCCTCACTAACGACCTCACCTACGCCGTCGCCGAAGAGGCAGTTCAGAAGAAAGCGAGCGTCATCGTGAGCTATCGTAAGCTTCGCCCCCGAACTGACTTATAACCCACTATTCCCCTCCATCATCTGACAATCTCCCTAGACCCCTTCATCTTCTCGGGCCTCAAGTCTATCACAACAAAGGACCCCCAGCAAGCAACTCTCCTGCTCCTCGCCTCCAACGGCATCGCAGTCTACTGCCCCCATACCGCAGTCGACGCTGCCCCCAACGGTCTCAACACCTGGCTCGGCGACATCGTCTCCGGCGGGCCCGCCTCCTCCTCCTCGACCGCGGCCCCCTCCGACCGCACCGTCATTACTCCTCACGCCTCGCCCCCAGCCGGCTTCGAGGGCTCAGGCTACGGCCTTCTCTGCACCTTCCGCCAGCCCGAGTCCCTCGCTGACATCATCCGGCGCGTAGCCTCCCGCGTAGGCATGCGCCGCGTCATGGTCGCCTCGCCGGACCCGTCGACAATCTCGATGGCGCGCGTGGGCGCCGTGGCCGTGTGCGCGGGCAGCGGGTGGGACGTTGTGAAGAGTGCGGCCGCGGACGTGGTTGTCACGGGCGAGATGAGCCATCACAATGCGCTTAAGGCCGTGCAGGAGGGCAAGACGGTTGTTGCTGTGTTCCACAGCAATTCGGAGAGGGGGTACCTTACCGAGGTGATGAAGCCCCTGTTGGAAGGAGAGCTGAAGCAGCAGGAGCATGATGTGCAGGTCCTCGTCAGCACGGCTGACCGGGATCCATTTGACATTGTGGACGTTTCCGAACTGTAAGTCGATCTGTGAATCGAACGTTCAAGAGGGAAAACGATGTCTTCAAATGCTTAGGAGAGAATTGAGCTCACACTTGGGGGTCGAAGACAAGCTCGAAGCAGCCATCTCTAGATAGCTGACGACGTTACCTTCCTTTCGAACGATTCGAGTCCCGTGTCGACATCGCTGCGATGGCTAAGCCATACCGCCGAGGACAGATATGCCTTATTTGTGCACGTAAGGTCCGACTTGATCCGTGAAGATGCTGTTACGTGGACTGAAGTGATGAAGTAAATCTGTGAAATCTGTGATTTTTGTCCAAATCTATTTGGCGAATCTATCTCTTTTGCTCAAACCATAAAAGTTGCGCCAAGTCCCAACACCAAATAACTCCATCGCTATGCTCGCAAACCCCAAACACGACACCAAGAACAAGACACCTCACGATCTCACGCTATCCTTTGAAGCCCTCACGCTGCTCTCCCCAGAACCACCAACCCTCAACGCCGCATCCCCCTCTTCAAGACACTCAGCAACATCTTTCCCACCGACGCCCTTCTCCTTCCAGACCTCCAGCAGCCGCCTCGGCATCTCCCACGCACTCCTCGCCTCCTCAACCTTGCCCTCCTTCACCAGCCTTCGCAGCTTCTCAGGCGTTCCCAACACCTCCCTCGCGAGCTCCCGCGTCCTCCGCCGC